GGGGGGGGGGGGGGGGGGGGGGGGGGGGGGGGGGGGGGGTTGCTGGTCCGGGCGGCTCCGCGTCTCGAACCTGCGGCCCCGGGGGAAGCCGAGGAACCCCCGGAACAGCTCGTAAAGGCTCATCCCGCTACTGCCGTAAAGCCAGACGGCCCCTCTGTCGCGCCGCCGCCGGTACCGCAAAGCGCGGCCGCTGCCGCGACTTCCCCCTTCGCACGTCAAGCCCGGCCCGATTGGTGCCGCGCCGCCGTAAAGCGACACCAGCCCAACGCCCTGGCGATTTCCCACAATCCTCGGGCGCGCTGCGCGCTGCCGTAAAGCGAAACCTCCCACGTCGTCCTGCTATGTCCGTCTCGCCACCGAAAAACAAGGCCACTGTCGTGAGTCTCGCTCTAGCTCTCCCTTCTGCCGTAAACCGAGGCAGCCTGTGCCGCCGTAAAGCAAATCACGCAAGAGTCGTAAAACGTTGTGGGGTTTTTTTCTCTCCCGTTGTTGTGTTTGGGTCGCAGGGGGAGGGTCAGACCGGGACACGCGGGATTCCCGCCCCGCCCTTCGGAAATTAGCATAAACAATAAAAGTAACAACTTGTAACTAGGGCGACCAGACAGCAAATGTGAAAAATCGGGATGAGGGTGGGGGGTAATAGGAGCCTATATAAGAAAAAGACCCAAAAATCGGGACTGTCCCTATGAAATTGGGACATCTGGTCACCTTACTTGTAACAAACACACATCCCCTTGTTCTGCCTTTTATGTGTTTACTTTTCACCCCTCCCCCACCCCCGCCATGTCCCCCCCGCCCCAGAGAGATCGGGGCCCCTCGCACCGGCCCCCGCCCCACAGAGATCGGGGCCCCTCGCACCGGGCCCGGCCCCAGAGAGATCGGGGCCCCTCGCGCCGGCCCCCGCCCCACAGAGATCGGGGCCCCTCGCGCCGGGCCCGGCCCCCCCGCCCCCCAGAGATCGGGGCCCCTCGTGCCAGCTCAGCACCAGCTGCCAGGCTGGGGCCCTGAGCCCCTTGTGACCCCCACAGCACCTTGGGGCTGGCCTGGTGCCCGGAGCACCCCCACCTACGCAGGGGGCTGGGACACATACAGAGAGAAGCCCCGTTATGAGCCTGGGGCAGGACAGCTTGGTAAAGGCAGCACCCTCCTCCCCCGAACCGGGCCTGGCGTCTCACTGTTCCCCTGCTCGGCCAATAAGGGTCTTGCTGAGCGCTGTGTAGGCTCCCACCCCGCTGCGGGTGCCCCTCATTCCTGACCCGCTGCCCCTGCGATCCCAGCCCTAGGGATGGATGGGGGTGTTGGGCTCGGGCCCGGTGGGGGAAGGGGGGCTGGGTACAGGAAGGGGCAGTGAGGGGGGTGTCAGGTTCAGGCCGGGGGACGATGGGGGGCCCAAGCCCAGGAGGGAGGGTCCGGGCTCTGGCCAAGGACTGGGGGGCCGAGCCCGGGGGGGGGGGGGGGCGGGCCAGCCGGGGGGGGGGGGGGCGGCGGGGGGGGGGGGGGGGCCGGGGCGGGGGGGGGGACTGGGCTCGGGCCGGGGAGGGGGGCCAGATCCCCACCAAACCCAGGGCCCATTAGGCCAGGCGCAGCCCAGTCACACGGGGACTGTCCCTGCCCTGAAGTGCTCACGATATAAACAGGCCAGACCAAGGCAGGATTATGTTCCCCATTGTATGGAGAGGGAAACTGAGGCCCAGGAAACAAGGCCCCCGCAGAGAAACCCATCTCTGTGCTGGCGCTGCGGGAGGCATGTGTCTGCCCAGCCATCTGGAGACGCCGGCGCTGACGGGGGCTAAGTCCAGTTTGGGTGCAGGTCTCACGGCGGTCAGGGCTTTGCCTTCTTTCGCACGAGGAGCTGGACGGGTCCCACGGGCAGGGCCCTGATGAGCTGCCAGGCCTCGAGCCGCATCAGCCCCTGCAGGCTCCTCTCCTCGATCTGGAGCACCTCGTCCCCAGGCTGCAGCAGGTCCTTGGGGCCCCCTGCAGGAGACACCGGGGGACCTGGATCGAGGGGCTGCTGGGGCCACATGCAGCCAGGGTGATGAAGCAGCCCCAGGGACCATGGGGAGAGGGACAGCTGGAGGGAGAGCCCAGGGGGCGGGGGGATTTCTCCGCTTGCAATGGGGGACTCTCCCCCGACGGGGCTGCTGGGAGGGTAAAGCCAGGCCTCCCTGATGACACTGTCACTGGGACCCACAGGGCAGCCATGGGCTGGGAGCTGCTCCTGTGCAGAGCGCGACCCCCCGCCACTGTCTCCCTCCCTCTCCAGCTCTGCCAGCTCCGCAGCCCGCCGACAGGAGGTCGCTGCTCAGGGAGCAGGGGCAGCGCAGGGAGCACCGGGCGAGCTCCGATCCCCCTATGCCCTCGGTCTCCATGGTCGGCCACTGGGGTCTCTAATGCCGTCACTGGCCAGAGCCCCCCAGACCTGCTTCACACAGAGGCCTCTGAAGGGGGCTTGGTTCAGTTGCTGCCCACCCTGGCCGGGCAGCCCTGTCTGCCCCCTACACTGCCCCCCCGGTCTCTCACCCTGGAAGATCTTCTTGACGGTCAGTGGCCTGTCCCCCTGCAGCGACCCCCGTCCCCCGTCCAGGCTGAATCTGAGTCCGTTGGCGTCTTTCACCACCTGCAGGGGCCTCACCATGGTGTCTGTGGGGGGACAGACAGATGGAGCTGTCAGACGCCAGCCCCTCCCTGTTCAGATCAGGGCCTTGTCTGGCCACACTCACCTGGTGCGGATGGAGGAGGCTGTGGGCCCGGCGCTGGGAGGGAAACGTTGGGGAGCCCATCCACTCCCCCCTTCCGCAGCACCACAATGGCCTGCCGGGCGGTCCGGGCCCGGTGCAGCGTTCGCAGCGCCTCCACGTGGCTGCAGCCCGTCAGCGAGTGCCCGTTGATGGAGAGAACCTCATCCCCTGGCTGGATGGTGCCCTCCTGGGCGGCCAGGCCGCTGGCAAAGACGCGGTGGATCTGCAGGGAATCATGGCAGGGGGCTGAAGCATTAGCCCCTAGAGTCAAGGCCCACCTTCCACTCTCATCCCGCTGGCCCTGCCGGTCCCAGGCTCCCCTCTCCCCGCTGCTCCCTGGGGGATCCCGGCACTCACCGTCACCCTCTTGTGCTGGTCGCTCCCCCCTGCGAGGCTGAAGCCCAGCCCGGCCCCCTCGTCCTTGTGCAGCACGACCACCTGGATCTCCTGGAGGTGCTGCTGGGAGAGAGGCGAGTCAGGGGCTGGGGCCTCTGCAGAGCCCGGGGGGGCAAGGCTCCCCTCCATCCCGGTCTGCGCCCGGGCCTGGGAACGTGCCCCCACCAGCTGCAGCCATTGCCTGTGTCCTCCAGCAGCTGGACCCAGGCCTCAGGAAGGATCAGCTTTAACTCCCCTGCCCCCGACTGGCCCGACGGGGAACCCCAGAGCCCCGGCCCGACGGGGAACCCCGGCCCAAGCCTCTCACTGTGACCCCACCCAACCCGGCTCAATCGTGCCTGCAGCCCGGGGCCCAGCCAGGACAGGTCCCTGCACAGGGTGAGGGGACAGACAGGCAGACGGTGCCCTCGGGCAGCACATACCTGCTGGCTCTCCTCTCCCAGGCCCTTCACCTCCTCCAGCAGCTGCTCCAGGTCTTGGGCTGGGATCAGGGACACCATGGACAGGCCGGACAGGCTGGAGTTCAGTGACGCCGAGTGTCCCTCGTCCAGGCCAAACTCCCTCAGCTCGGCCATGCTGGGGGCAGGAGAAACCCTATCACGGCCAGGCGCCCGCCCCCCATGGTGCCCCAGCACCCCCACCTGCTCCCAGCACTGCCCCCCATCCCCCATCACTGCCCCCAGCACTCCCTAGCACCACCACCTGCCCTCACCAACCCTGCCCCCCAGCACCCACGCCTGTCCCCCAGCACTGCCCCCAGCACCCCCACCTGCCCCCATCCCCCAATACTGCCCCCAGCACCCCCACCTGCTCCCACCCAACCCTGCCCCCATCCCTCATCCTCCAACACTGCCCCCAGCATCCCCCAGCACCCACACCTGCCCCCACCTCTCAACACTGCCCCCAACCCTGCCGCCAGCACCCACGCCTGCCCCCACCAACCCTGCCCCCAGCACCCGTCCCCCACCCCCCGGCACTGCCCCCCAGCACCCACGCCTACCCCCCAGCACTCCCCCCAGGACCCGTCCCCCACTCCCCAGCACCCACCCCACCCTCCAGCACTGCCCCATCTCCCTAGGGTTCAGGGACCGTGCACCAACCCCAGCTGCCCCCCAAAGGCCCTCACCCATCCCAGCAGAGCCCTGCTCCCTGCCCCTCCCGCTCAGCTCCTGGCCTCTGCCCGGCTCTGCCAAGGGTGGCTGGCACTGGGCTCTCAGTGCCACGTTCGCACATCCAGCCACCCTGGGTTACCCTGGCTTTGGTGCCGGCAGGGTGCCAGGCCCCCCGGCATAGAGAAAGGGGGCGAGAGCTCCCCAGGCCCCGGCTGGCAGGCAAGACTGCTTGATGGGGAGACAGGGAGACCCCGGGGCCGGCTCCAGCCCGGCTACCCACCTGAGGGCGAAGCTCCGGCCGTCGGGCTGGCTCTGCTCACTGGGGGCGGTGAGTGAGGACTCTGTGGAGTCAGAGTCGTCCCCGTCGGACTCCCCCAGGCCCCAGGGGGCGGGGGGCAGGGCCGGGGACAGCTCTGGGGCCCTGCCCTCTGTGGGGAGCGGGGAGGATGTCAGGGGGCTGCGCCTGGGCAGGTGGCTCTGGAATGGCCCCCCAGCAGGCCTGACCCCTGGCAGCCCCTCACCAGCTGGACCTTCCCCCTGGGCCGCCTTGGGTCTGCCGGCGTCTGTGGGGGGCTGGGGCAGCCCCGGGGCTCCGGCTCCTGCCCTCCTGCCACCCTGGGGCTGCCCAGGGGCCGGTGGCTCCGGCTGGGGCAGGCACAGCCTGGCTGGCAGGGCTGAGAGTCGTTGCCCTTTCCCGGGGGGCCGTGGCTCCTGCTCCCTGCCCCAGGCTACCCGGCTTTGCTGGGGCCCGGCTGCTGGGGCCCCCGTCAGCCTGCCCCTGCCCCGGGGGGCAGCAGCCGCACAGGGAGCCTGGCTCGCCCCGAAGCGCAGCTCGAAGGAGCGAACCTGCTCCCTGACGGAGCAGCCTGGCCCCACGCTGGGGCCCCTGCCCCCGCCGGGGGGAGGCCGTGTCTCCCCATCTGGCTCCATCCGCTCCCTCTGGGCAGGGGGCCCGGAGCTGCTGGGGCGCAGGGCTGGGCCCCTGCTGGACGGGACTCCCTCCTCACTCCTGCGGGGCGGCCAGTCCCTTCCACTGGGCCTCGGCTCCTGGCCCCCCATCCCCCGGGCCCTGGGGCTGGGGGGCTGGGGGGCCCGGGGGCCGGGTTCCTCGCTTGCGGCCGAGCTCTTCTGGAAGAACCTGATCCGCTCCTGCAGGCTGAGGCTCGGGAGGCCAAGTGCCCTCTGGGCCGACGACTCCTGCAGGGGCCTCACTCGGAAAAGCGGGGAGGGCCCCGGCCCCCGCGGGACGTCCCAGCTCCCAGCTCGCCAAGGCCTGGCGGTGGTGGCCCAGCTCCTAGGCCGTGGTTGGCCAGAACCCGGGCAGGGGGGCTGGGCAGCGTCTGGCTCCATTCCCAGCAGCGGGTGAGGGAACTACGAGTCCATGTCCCACGGGGCGGCTGGGGGATCCCCAGCTGATCCCACTGGATCCCTCGTAGCTGGTCCCACTGGATCCGTCAGCTTCCCCCAGCCAATCCCGGCATGTCCATCCTCGGGGGATGCTCCCCCGTGCGCTGGGCTTCTTCCCAGAGTGACGGAGTCTCCCAGCCTCGCCCGCCTGCACCGGGACAGCCACTGAGGAGGTGCCCTGGGCTGCTGCGTCCCTCCTGGACCTGTTGGAAGCAGAGGCCAAAGAGGGGTTGATTCCCTGGATCCTGCTCGGTCTCCGTGCGACAGGGCCTGGCCTGGGCACTCCCCCACCGGAGTCTCACGCCCCCAAGCGTGTTGTTACCGGGCCCTTTGGAGCCACCGAGTTATTTAAGGTGCCATCTAGACAGAACCTGCCCTGGCGTGGGAGGGAGCCATTTAACCAGGGGCAGGCATGGCCCCGGCTGTCTCGTGTTCTGGATGGGGCCGGGACCGAGCAAACTCCAGTGTCTTTGGGATTTGGTTGCCCGTGAGAGCGATGAGGCTCTGGGAGAGGGCAGGCAGCGCCCGCCGCTGGGTGAGCAGGACTCGAGCCAGACCAGTTGAATCCTGCACCCAGAAGCACTTTACAAACTAGCCAGGGATGGCGTCAGCCACCTCTAGGATGCAACACGTCAGCTGGAGAACAGGGAGAACGGGGTGGTGGGGGGTCGTCAGCACCCAGAGCCAGGTTTTGTTAGAGGGAAAAAAACATTTTGCAAAAAAACAAACAGCAGCAGCAGATTTGAAATGAGATTTACAAAAATCAATAAAACAGGGGTTTTATTCTGCTACAAGTTTGCAGCCTGGACCCCCACGGCCTGATGGGCACCAGCCACCCAGATGCCATGGGCGTTGGCTGCCCAGACCCCGCAGCCCAGACCCTGCTGCATTTCTACCCGCACATGGGACCCCAAGAGCCCGTGGCCTGTTTGCCTTCAGCCGGGCGCTGGACCTAGCCGGCTGTGTGCAGAGGGCAGCTGAGTTTGTTCCTTGCTCCTCTCGGGGAGCAGCGAGAGGCCGGAGGTTTGGGTTGAACTGTCTGATGGTGAGCTGGGCAATGTGTCTTAAATGGGCCTGTTGAAGCCAGCTATTGAGGGCAGGGATGCACCCACCCCAGCTGCCGGGGAACCAAGGGATGGGGAGGGGAGCTGCCCAAGCGGGCATTTGGCCAGGACATGGGTCCAGAGAAGTGCCAGGCACCTTCCATCACAAGTAGCCAGGAGGCGGCACTTTGGGGTTCATCCAGGTGTCTCCCCGCTCCCTATCGCTCCAGAGGCAGCACCTCCCCTCTCCCCGGTGCTGTGGGCAGCGCAGGGTTAGAGCAGACACACGGCCATGAGGACAGGGTGAAGACAGGCTGGGCCTTCTGTCCCTGCCATGCAGCACCCAGCTCCCAGGGCCTGTGATTACAGGGGGGCAGAGCGGGTACAGCCTTGGCCTTCTGCTGCCCCCCCCGGCACCTCCCCCAAAACACACCGCTGAGGGGCCAGGTAACCTCCCCCCACGTCTGTCCCCATCCCCCAACCTCCTGAGCAGCTGCCCAGGGTACACGCGATAAACCCTGCAATGAGGAAGGCACCAACTGGCACATGGGATCTGCCCTCCCCTCAATACCACTGGCAGAAGGGGTAGGGGGTCTCTGTCAGTCTCTGCCCCCCACCCCCAGCAGGTCTGACCTGGCCTTACCCTGCAGAAGAGCCCCAGCCCTGGGGGGGCAGGCAGCTGGCGCTGTACCCTCCCCGACTGGGGCACCGCCAGGCGGCCCGGAGCCGGAAGAGGCTCTTGCTCGGCCGTTGCTGTGCACGTGGGGAGCCGAGCATCCTCTGGGTTAGAAAGGCAGCCCTCCCCCACCCCCCCCGCCCCGGCTCTCTGCGGGCAGCTCAGCCAGGTGCAGGGGCGACTTCCTGCCCGCCTGCTTCCGCTGGGCCTAGGGACAAGCCACCACCGCTTCCCTTCTCGACAGAGCCCGCCATGGGGCTGCTGCGCGGGGAGGTGTCTGCAGCCTCTTGGTGCAGCCGAGCTGCGGTAAAGGGGCTGTCAGACAATGAGGTGTCAGGGCCACAGCCCCCCCCCCCACTCCCTGTCTGCCCCCCGCCCCTCGTTGCACAGTCCTGCTGCTGCAGGAACAGCCGCCCTGAGCACCGCTCTTCACCCCCATTAACCCCTGGCCCAGAGAGCCCTAGTAAGGGTTAACTGCCCCCTGGGGCGCAGCTTGGAGCCTATGGGATCCCACTGCTGAGGGGCCCTGCACAGCCCCAACTGGGGACAAGACAGGAGCCACTCCCCTCGAGGAACCACGGGCCAGCCTGGATGTCCCTAGCCCCCGCCACACGCAGCTCTGGCCCGGGGCAGGGCCCTGCCGGCACGCCCTCGCACCCCCTGACTGGGGAAGGGGCAGCTCCTGCCCCCAGCGGGTTGATCACTATGTGCCAGGCTCACATAGATCACGTCAATCTGTGTTATTCACACCACGTACGCCAGCATGCATCGCCAGGGCGCTACATGGGGCCTAGGGATTTCTAACCATTCCAGGACCCAAAGGGCTGCGAAGCCCAGAGCACTTGGCAAAGCTGACGACAGGAAACTTGTCAAAGGTGCAAAGAGCAACGTTCTGCCCTGGTACAAGCGGGGGACCGGAGCAGTACCTGGAACGCGAGTATCCAGGCCAAAGAGAAGGCAGGGACAGAGCCAGAAGTTAAGGAAACGGAACAAATGGATGGGTCGGCCGTTGGGGCAGGTAGAGTTCTGGAACTTGTCACATCAGCCTACGACTGCTCCCAGGGGAAGCGCGTAGCTTCCCCTGAGCCACACTGCACAGAACGGCTTCCCGGGAACATTTTCCTGCACTACGTGATTGACTTTAGCAAAAAACCTGGCTGATGTCAGCGATCTGGTCTCGAGTATGTTTCATTATGAACCAAGGTGTGATCAACCAATTGCCTGGTCAATTTACCAACCCTGAGACAGCTCCTCCCATGGGGCTACAACCCACCCACCCCTCCTGCGTCCCACTCAGAGAGGAGGATTGCGGGTCGCTGAGAGGCCGGACCCCAAAAAGCCAGCAGCTCTTGGAGAAAACTGAGGGGGAGGACGTGTGCTCTGGGGCGAGGCTGGGACTGGGGAGGGGCTAGGAGGGGGGGCAGCTGCCAGCTGGCTCCGTGCAGCTGAGACCCTCCCAGCCCTTTGAACCCCAGCGCAGGTGTGTGCTCTGCAGCACCGTAGCCAGCCCCCATCCTCCCCATGCAGGGAAGGCAACAGGAGCTAGTCTATTACTCACCACTGGGTGGCAGCCCCTGCCCAGGAGACTCCTGCACCATCCCCGGCAGGAGAGGCACGTGTGGGAATGGCCCTGGGGGATTCTTAGACGGGGGGGGGGCAGGAAGGAGGGACCAGGCCAGCCCTCCTGGCCCTGGCATGCAGGAGACACGCAGCCTCGGGCTGGGGCCTAAGCAAGGAGCTCCTAATGAGAGCGCAGTTCCGTTGGGTCACCGCCCGCAGCCAGTGACCACTTCCACTTGGTCTTGGGCAGAACATGCCTGCACCTGGGCCCTGGAAAGGGCAAAGATGCCTGGGGACCACCGAGGGGAGGGCCAGCAGCTGTTGAGACATCGGTGTAAACAAAAAGGGGGCAGGCAGGCCCAGAGACGGAGCGGGCCTGGCCTCCTCCACTACCCATCAGTATACTGGGGCAGGGCCCGGCCCGCTGCTTTCCCTCGCCAGCACCTGTGACCTGCTCCAGGGCCCAGGGCCAAACATCCTGACCAAGGCTCAGAAGGTAGGGATTAAAAAATACACACATCACTTTGTGATCTTTATTCTCTTTTAGTAAATAACCCGCGCGGGGGCTTCATTTGAAGTGACCAGTTCCAACTGAAAAATACAAGATCTGGACTGCATAGAAAAAAAGACCAAAAAAACCCAAAAGCAGAATATACTTACAGCGTGCAAGGGGGGAGGGCAAGGGCCTGGCCTGGGGCCCACTGTGGGGAAGGGGGCAGATGGAGAACTGAAAAGAAAGAGGGGTTTCCCTCCACATACCCTCCTGGGCTTGCGGGAGCGATGGAGTGTGCGGAGGAAATGAGGACTCCAGGACGGCGTGGGGTTTTCGTTTTTATATACAAGACACATTTATCCATTAAATTTAGAACACAGTACAAAAAACACTTCAACTAATTCATCGGACAATGCTGTTCATATCAATTACTGTTCTTATTCCTAATATTAAAGGGGGTTTGCTGTAGGTGGGCTTGCAGCTTTCCACTCCTTTGGGTCCAGCGGGGTCAGGGGGCAGCAGGACGTGGGGAGAAGGGGGGAGAGAGAGAAAGGAGTAAAAACCAAAAAAGGCCCCTACGGCAAACGGTTCAGAGTCTGAACGCAGAGAGAGAGAGAAAGAGAGAGAGAAAATACAAATTCTATATTACATACAACAGGAAAGGTGGCTGAAAACAGACACAATGCAGAGCCAAGCGGCCGGCCTGCCCCGGGGGCTGCTGGCGCTGTGCCGGGGGATAGGGGGCGCTCTCTCCTCCCCGGGTTCCTTTGTTGTCGTTTTCGGTACGTTTCTCTTCCAGAAGCGAGTGGCGAGGTGCGCAGGGCCGCTGCAGCCTCAGTTGGCGCCCCAGTTGTAGCTGTTGTAGGTGGACTTGTTGGCCTGGGATTTCTGGGGGATGGAGGTGCCCTGGCTGCGCTGTCCGGTGCCGCTCTGAGGGGGGGTGGAGGGGAAGCAGAGGGTTACTGGGGGGAGCTGGAAGCCCTAAGAATCCCCGGGGTCCTGAGCCCGGCCTGCTCTGGACGTGCCTTGCCCTCAAACCCAGGAGTCCCGCACCAGCGCTTAACAGCACGAGCTGCAGACCTGCGAGACCAGTTCCAGGTGACCTGCCCCATCCTCACCGTGCCAGGTGAGCTCTAGGCCGCAGCGTCGCTCTGCTGCACAAGGCAGCCATGGTGCCAAACTGCTGCGGCTCTAGCCCAGAGAGACGGCCCAGCCGCCCGCACCGCGCCCCAAGCCCAGTGGCTCTCTCAGCCCTGCTTTTCAGCAGGCTGACACCAGCCCATAGCCCCCGACCCAGCTGGGACCCCCCGCCTTCCCCTTCCACATGAGCCACTCCGCGCATCTTCCTCCAGACCAGGAATGCTTCCAATACCACCACGCAGCAGCAGCTGGAGGGCTCCGCCAGGGCTGGGGCTCAGGGAACTGGGGGGTGGGGGTGGGCGGGGGTGAGCATGGGCATGTGTGTGTGCCGCGGGTGTGAGTGTGTGTGCACTTACTGACTGAGGGCCTCCCTCCTCGCCTGGCAGGGTGGTACGGGAGCGTATGAAGGGCTAGTCGGGGGCTGAGGGGCCTAGGGGCGGGGGTGGGGAGGGGGCAAGGCATTATCATTCAGAGAGGTTCATTACCTGGTCCTCCTGCTGGCGTTGGCAGCACAGTATCATCTGCAAATATGGAAGCTGTTGCAGTACCAGGATATGTAAAATAAAGGGACAAACTATGACAATAGAAATCCACGGTTAGACCTGACAGCTACGGCGGGATCGTGGGGGTGGCAATTAACCCCTCCACTGCTGGCCTGCGGAGCCGCCATTCCAAGGAACGGGGAGGTCAGGACGTACCAGGTATGTTCCCGGGGGGAGGGGCAATGGCTGAACGTACCTGGTACGGCCCAGCAGCAATGGGGTGGCGCTGAGTACCCCCCAGCTGAGTGCACCCCGGGCCTTCCTCACCTCTTCCTCTCACAGGCCGTGTATGTGCGGGCGTGAACGAGCGTGTGCATGTCACCGCGTGTCTGCATGTGTCCGCTGTGGGGCATGAGAAGGGAAGGGGGGGGCCAGGGGAGCGAGAGAGCGCCCTAGGAAATAACCCGGCAGGGGGCTAGGGGGCTGCTTACCTGGCCGTCCTGCTGCAGATGGTGGTGGAGGATCTGCGAGTGGGGCTGCTGATGCGGGGTGAGGATGTGCATGAACGGCGCCGGTGGGTACGCTGCGGCTGTCGCAGGGTTGAGGGGGCCGCCGCTGCCTAGTGCTGAAGGCAAGTTGAACGAGGCTGCCGGGGTTCCAGTGTGAAATCCCTGCTTCTCGAAGGACTGCTGCCGAGGAGACACCATGGGGGTGAGGGGCGCCGGGGAGATCGACGCTGGCAAATCCCCGTGTCTCCCCAGCACCAGTGGCCGCGGCGTGGGCAGGTGCAGGGTGAGGCTCCTTCACCCTGCCTGCTTCAGAGGGGAGACGTTTCCCAGCCCCCGGCCGCTCTCTCAAATCCCGCCCGGCCAGATCTCCTTCGCGAGGAGAGACAATCGCCCCACAGAGCCCCCTGTATGAGGGGGCACGTCTACACTGCAGCTGGGCGCGTGCTTCTCAGTCCAGCGTGGACGTCGCAACAACGGCAGAGGCTTTGGCCGTGTCCACAGCGGTTTGAAATGCACTAGCTTGAGCCAAGCTAGTGAGCGCGTCTAACTGGCCCGAGAGGCACGCTCCCAGCTGCAGTGCAGACACCCAGACAGGCCAGCAGTCCCCACAAAGCCTGGCACGTGTTCCCCCGGAGCGCCCCCCCCCCCAGCTACTATCTGCCCAGAGACCATGGACGAGACACCAACCTGGGTCTTGGAGTAGACGGAGCCCGAGATGTCTGGCACTCCCGTGTTACTGGATGTCACGGATACACCTGTGGAGGGAGGAATCCAAAAGGCAGCGTCAGGCAGGGCAGGGGGTGGGCACCCTGGGGTTACCAGGGGAACCAGTGCCACTCCTGGGCAGGAAGGAGCCACAGCACCGAATGTAGCCGCTGGAGAGTCACCCCCCTTCAGGTGGGGTTTGGAGAGAGCCCCCGCCCGGCAGGAGGAAGCCCCTTCTCAGGAGTGGAGAATCTGTCACATTCCCGGCTTGAATGCCCTGGCCTCAGACACCCCACCCCGCTCTCACCCCCCACCTCAACCCGATTATACCAGGAGAAGAAATCCTCTGCTTTGTGCGAGGTGCCAGACAGCACCCGGCAGGGGCAGGGCTCCTACGAAGGGCACGACAGCTCTGTCCTTCTAGACAACGGTCCCCAGAGGGGTTTTGACCTTGGCCATCCGCAGCCACCCATTTCTAACAGCTGTCATTTCCTCATCTCTCCGGTTCCACTGGTGTGTGCTCCCGAGACCGCTGAACGCGCCGCAGGGGCATGCCCGCAGAGCTTACGCACGGTCGCCGGGCAGCCTTAGCACTACTAAGGGGTGTGCTGAGGAGATGGCCCAACACCAGCATTCAGTCCACATCCCAGCCCTCCTGCGTGGAGCCATTTGGCACCTTGCTAATGCTGGTACAGGGAACAGCTCCGATGGCACCGAGCCCCACGTTCAGGGAGCGTGGCTCTGCAGAATTAGCAAAGCTGTTCAGACAAGAGGAAGAACTCCTGCTGCAAGGATCCTGACTGGAGTGGACTTCGATCTGGTTCTGGGAAGATCCGTCAAGGAGGAGACAATCAGGAAAGGGTGACAGGCAGCTCTTGGCTCCCAGAACAGAACAATTCGCTGCCAAAGCAGTTTCTTTGGGTCTCCGACGAGAAATGTGGTCTAGATAAAATTATTATAAGGTGGGTGCAGAACTGGTTGGAAGACTGAACTCAAAGGCGTTATCAGCAGTTTGCTGTCAGATTGGGAGGGTGTATCTAGTGGGGTCCTGCAGGGGACAGGCCTGGGACTGATACTAGTCAATATTTTCATTAATGACTTGGATAACGCAGTGGAGAGCGTGTTTATCAAGCGTGCAGATGACACCAAGCTGGGAGGGGCTGCGAGCACGATGGAGGAGACGACTGGAATGCAGAACGACCATGACAAATTGGAGAGTTGGTCTGAAATCAACAAGGTGAAATTAAATAAAGACAGTGCAAAGTCCTTCACTTAGGAAGGAAAAAATTCAATGCACAGCTAAAAGTGGGGAATAACTGGCTAGGTGGTAGTACTGCTGAAAAGAACCTGGGGGCTCGAGTGGATGCAGGTGGAAAAAAGGCTGCTCATACACCCAGAGTGAGAACAGGAGTGTCGCACGTAAGACACGGGAGGTCACTGTCCCAGCTCTACTCAGCACGTTCTGGGGGCTGGTTCAGGAAAGATGTGGAAGAATTAGAGAGTGTCCAGAGGAGAGCAACAAAAATGATGGAAGGTTTAGAAAACCGGACCTAGGAGGAAAGGTTAAACTGGGCAGGTTCAGTCTTGAGAGCCAACGACAGAGTGGAGTGATTAAGAACCGGATAGTCTTTGAATACATGAAGGGAGGTTACAAGGAGGACAATGATCAATTGCTCTCCACGGCCACGGGAGGTAGGATAAGAAGTAACGGCTCAATCTGCAGCAAGGGAGATGTAGGTGAGATCAGGAAAAACTTCCTAGCTCTCAGGGGAGTTAAGCTCTGTCATAAGCGTCCGAGGGAGGAGGTTTAAGAACAGGTTGGTCGAACAGCAGTCAGGGCTGGTCTAAGTTTACTTGGGCCTGCTTCAGCTCAGGGGCGGGACCTGATTACCTCTTGAAGTCCCTTCTAGCCCAACATTTCCAGGATATCCTGGATGCCACAACGAAGGGGATGGAACATTTCCCCATCTCCTGAACTAGCCAGGGCTTTGCAACCACGGAGGTGGGGCTGAGAGCAAGAGGGCTCTGGCCATAGCATTCTGGAGACAGCAGGGGCAAAGCACATTCCCACCCCTACAAGGCACAGAAAGGGCAGGGTAGCCCCTTAGTACACCACACTCATTAGGACTGGGGCGAGTCTAACGCACACCCGGGCCCAGTGCTAGCTAAAGCCCCTGATTTGTAGGCAACGTTCGTGAGGACCGAGCCCACACACACACACACACACACACACACACACACACACACACCTTCACCAGATGGGTGGAGATTTCATTTCAGCTCGCAACTTCCCAGCAAACTACATGCCAGGTCCAGACTTCGGCACACAGAGCAACAGGTGCCGTCGCTCAGGGACTTGAGGGAAGAGAGATGACAGTGGCCTAGGGGCAGAAATGGATCTAGGTTCCAGGCTGCTGAGAAGTTCCCTGGCCTTAAGCGCTGACCTTGGCAGTAAGAAGAGTGGCCTGTGCGTTTCCCATCTCCAGTGCACCAAGGACAGACTGGAAAGGCCAGGGCAGGATCAGCGGACTCACCGGGCCAGCGCAGCAGCAAGAATTACTCTGATGTACAGGTCATGGTGGGGGACACAGACCAGCTGGGCCTTCTCACCCTGATGCTGGGCACAAACACTAGAGACACCTGCCATTTGTCAAAGCCCAGCGGAGACAGCACATACTGTCTGGTGTCAGACAAAGCCCAGCCTGTCAACACGGGGGCAGAAATCTTAGAGAAATTCCAGACGTCTGGGAGAATGCGAATATTGTGCCAACATTAAAACAAGAAAAGACAAGCAGGATGACCTGGGTAACTACAGGCCAAGCACCCTGACATCAATCACAGACAAAATAATGGAAAAGCTGATACGGGATTCAACTGATAAAAAGAATTCAAGGACAGGAATATAATTAATGCCAGTCAACCTGGTTTTACAGAAAATAGGGCTTGTCAAACAAGCCTTACTTCCTTGAGATTCCAAGTTCGGGTGATAAAGGTAAATGCATAGATGTAATACACTTTTGGAAGGTGTCTGACTTAGTGCCCCACGACTTTCTCATGGAAAAACTGGCACTATACAATACCCGTGGGGTACACGTTACATGGATTAAGAACCGGCTGACATCTCAAACAGTAGTTGTCAATGGGTGTTTCTGTGGGATTGGTACTAAGTCGGACCCTGTTCATCATTTTCATCAGTGATCTGGAAACAAATATAAAGTCACTGATGATGAAACAGAGACTGGCAGAGTGATACACAATGAGGAGGCCAGGGCAGTCAGACAGTGCAATCCGGATTGTTTGGTAAGCTGGGTCGTTTGAATAGAAAATTGTACATCTAGGAACACGTAATTCCCTACAGAGTGGGGGGCTGTCTCTCGGAGGTAGTGACGTCGCCCCTCAACCCAGGACTCCACAGCACTGCTTCCAATTAGCCAGCAGGTGCCCACTCCATGAGGTGTAAACGCCCCTGGATAAGCGGCCACTCCAGCTCCAGGGCTCTTGAAGTCAGTCCCAGGACGTTTGGCACAGTCCGACACAAGGATGATTTCTGATGGATCTCCCGGCCTGGGATTGAAAGTGGTGTTTGTCCAGACTGCAGCAGCACTTTGTTTCCAACAGCAGCCTGGAGAGACCCAATGCCGAAAGGCATCATCTGTGACGGCCCAGCAGCCCAGAGCAGGCAGGCTCAGTGGACTAGTCTGTTCCAGCCCAGGACAATCGCCCGGTTCCTCTCCTGTGACCCCCTGACAACCCTCCACATGTTACAGGCGTACCGACTGACTGGCCACCGAATGTCTCTTACCGGTGCTGTATCCATGAGAGCCATAGCCACTGGGTTGCTGGAAAGGGGTTGCTGATGCGTTGACGCTGACATTCACACCATGCTGCTTGGAAGAGGTAGGAGCGACCTAGAGAAAGGAAGGGGCCAGGACGGTGAGCACGGGGCCAGCCAGGCTCCTACGCCCTGCCCCTCCCGCCGAGGCGTGGGAAGGGGGAGCACTCACAGGGAACACGGCGGGCCCATACTGGAAGGTACTGGGGAGCCCTGGTACCCCTGTGTAGTATGGCAGACTGGTGTAACTGTAGCCAGGAGGCAGAGCTGGGTTCAGGAACGTCTGCTGCGTGGTATGGTGCGTCTGCGTCTGGCTCTGCTGAGGCTGCGCCAGAGTTGTTGCTGGAGCAGGGGAGGAGGCGTCGCCTCGGCCGAACTTCGTGAGGTCACCTGGAGCGGGGAGGGATACAGGTGGGAACGAGGCCGCCGGGCTGAGCGACAGACACGTGAGCGACTGCTTTGCACTGTCACCTTTCACAAGGATCTCAAAGAACTTTGCCAACAACCGGCCTCAACCCCCCGTGGAGGACAGGTGAGCCTTAGCCCTGCTGCGCGAGGCTCAGGGAGGGGAGCTGGCTTGCCCAGGCTCACAGAGTGACAGCTGCAGAGCCAGGAACACAACGCAGGCCCCTGCCCCAACCTCCAGATGATCCTTCGAGGATTCCAAGCCATTAAATCAGAGGGGCCTGGTACACGGAGAGAACTCATTTCGGACCCCTCTGCACACAGCAGCCACGCAGGACGCAAGGCTGGACGGTTACTAAACCAACTGCTTTCCCCAAAGCCCCTGTCCTCTGTGCCCCTCACAACCCACTGGCAAGCAGACCCCAAAGGGAGAGGGGTTCCTGTAACCAGCTCCCCAGGGGCTAAACTACACGACGTAGCGTCCTGCCAAAGTGCTTCAAGCCCTTATAGCAGCCTATGGCCTTCACACTCCAAGCCCCGCACAGGGCGAGCGAGACCCACCCACACTGGGGTTTGTCGGAGACTCCTACAGGCCCCACTCGCAGCCTGAGCGCCAGGATCTCGCAAGTCGAGTCCCGGAGTTTATGGCAATTCCAAACGAAGCTTGGAACAGGCCCAGGACAAAGCAGCAGCTCACTAGCGATCCCAAGCTGCAAGGGTAGGTGTACGCCAGGGGGCCTGCGGGCTCACGGGCTGTTTAACGGCAGTGTAGGCGTTTGGACTGCGGCCCGGGCTCTAGGCCCTTGCAAGGTGGGAGGGTCTCAGACCTCAGGCTGCAGCCCAAGCATCTCACCGCTGTTCAACGGCCCCTTAGCCTGAGTTAGCTGGCCCAGGCCAGCTGCGGGTGTCTAAAGTGCAGTGTAGACAGATCCTAAGAGCCCTGCCCCGTCAGCCAGTAGCTGCCCGGTGCTCGGATCTCACTGAACGTGGGAGTCAGCTATTGACTAGCTGAAGATGTGAATAGTTTCTTTTTACAGTGCTGCTCACACCTCCGTCCTCTCCACGCCATGGCAGAGAACCAGAACCTTGCAGGGGCCCAATGACCTGCAGAGAATACTCGCAAATATCACTTCCTCTGCTCCTGCCAGCAGCTGGCCCTGCAGACTGGGCACAGGCCGAGGGGTCTGGGAAGCCTCGATTTGCATTTCTTTAAGAGCACCTGCTTGCTCTTCCCTGCAAACACTCTCCCCATTCAGAGTGCACACAGTAAGGCAGTGACTTCTGCAGAGAGCCAGCTCCAGGACAACCACAAACGCTAATTATGGCTCCAGTGCTAACTTGGCAAATTATGCATGCGACAGCCCATCAGCCTGGGGCTGGGATTCTGAGCTCAGCGGGCTGAAGCAGGAGAAGTGATGCCCAGGAAAGCAAAGACAAGCGGCTAAAGGAGCGAATTGCAGGCCTCAGTGCTGGAGTTGGGACGGAAAGCCCCTTTTAGGCCAGGTGGCCCCTCCTAATTCCAGCTCTGGACTGGCCCCTAGGGCGCATTTGCTAGTGTATTGCCCAGTCAAGATTTTAAATGCCCCACCTGACTCTTCCCTTGGGACACTCTTCCATGGCCAAAAAGAGCCGATTTTCTAGCTATTCAGTCTGAATTTCATGCTGTTACCTCTCAGCGTTCCTGTCCCTCCTATGTTTCTACCCCCTCCAAGTATCTGCCACCTGTACCTTCCCCTGCTTAGACACTGCTTTGCCAAGCCAGACAGGCAGCTCTTCATCGGCCTGCTCAATGGATCCTCTAGATATTTTACTGCAATGAGGTGTCCAGACATGGTCACACCAGAAACGGGATTGTCAGAGGAACCAAAAGAGAATAAAGCCACTACGCTGGATAACCACCGCAAGCCGCAGGTAGTGCCTGCTCCGCTAGCCACCCGCACACTCCCGAGGATAGAACCGCGCAGTGCTAGTCCCAGTGGGGCAGTGCACAGGAAGCTACAACGAACAGCAGGAGTTCGAGTCGGCTCTCAAACAAATGGCTGATGTCAGAGTCCTTCCCTAGCACGGCAGGTTAAGTGCAGGGTGAGCAAAGCACAGGAAATGCCACACACTCGTTGGGAGAGACACACCAGGCTGAGCTGGAGGGGCTCCAGCAGAGCCTGCCACGTGGAGCATCCAGAATCTAAGAGCTCCCCTGCTTGGCTGCTTCCAGGTGCAGTGTTCACACCTCACGCACATGGAGATTTTGCTTTCAGAAGAACACACTGCCCCAGGGCTCACACTATAGCCCAGCCACCCCAAAGACGAGGGCCGAGGGCCTCTCTCCTACCCGAATACGGATTGCTGCTCAGGCTGCTGTCTCTGCCAGTCAGCGGGGTGGTGGGGGTAGGGAACGGGATGCTGTAATAATCCTGAAAGAGACACGGAGAAAGCGCAATGAGCTACATACTGTTACAAAGGTGGGCCTCTTGGAGAAACAGGATTTCCAGGCTGCAACAGCCCAGCGTGTTGGAGTCATGCAGTTCAGATCAGTCACATGGTAGGCTGATCGCATCTGGTAGCAACTCCGGATTTGCTCTTGCATTTACCATCCCCCCTGTCTGGCCATTAGAAGAGCTAGAAAAGGTCTACTGGTATGCATGCTCTTTAAAGGACCAGGACTGTACCTGCAGCATCACAGCCACGGGAACAAGAATAACTTCCCTTCTGCAGAACACGTGCCACATCCCCGGGGCAAGCAGTCCCTCTATCTCTGGAGAAAGTCAGTCTAGCCAGCGCCATCCGCCGCTCACAGTGAGCAGAGCTCGGCTTGCTTGGACTCGGCTTCATAAACCTACTCTCCCAATAATTAATGCTACTGATTCCCAAGTGCCCCAGAACACGTGGAGGAGCTGAACTGATCAAATTGATTAGACTGACCTCTACACAAAGCACCACAGCTGTATACATACAGAATCCCATTTTGCTAGTCTCTCACCAATACTTTACAACCTGGCATGCCTGTCTGGATTCACTGGTTAGGTCCAGAGACGCAGGCCGGCTGCTAGGATTAGAGAAGCGCCTTCCAGATCTTATTTTACGTACTCACCAATGGGAATCTCGTCTGAAGCATCTGCAAGTCGTCATAACCATACACTTGTGGCTAAGAAAGGAGCAGGAGATTGCGTTAGGTACACAAATCATGCAGCTCATTACCAAGTAGCCGTGGCAGACCATGTCCATATAATTATCTGACCAAGGATGAAGACCAGCCCCCCCATGACAACAAGAGACAGAGTGACTGGAAAGAGAAAATGCTACGGGACCTGACCAAAGATCTCTAGTTCGCTGCTGTGCGATGTGGTGCCACGTGGGATTCTAGGGCTCATCAAATATCACTGGGACAATCCCTGCTTGTAAGTAGTTTGCAGAAGTTGTATACGCAAATGTGTCACTTCTCTAGTTTCTCTCTCTCTCTCTCTCACACACACACACACACACACACACACACACACACACACACACACACACACACAGCTAAGCTTGTCTGCTCCTGACCGAGAGGGGCACCTCACAACCACCAGACAGAACGGTGGCCGGTATGGAAAAGCTGAGCACCTCGGCTACGCTCTTTGGTTCAGTCTGTCACCCTGGTCCCCAGCTCCTGGGACCATTCCCCAGTACAGGCACTGCAATCAGTGCTCCAGGGCTCCTGCTTCTCTACCACAAGGAGAAAGCTCTGTGGTGAGTCCTAGTGCCCCACTGCTGCCCACTTCCCATTCCAGCTGTTTGCACGTTAACCCCCCCAAGGAGCTGGCACTGCTCCAAACCTCTGCTCCCAGGGACCTTGGATCAATAGGTGCTGCTGGCTGACCAGGCTGGGAACCAGGGCTCCTCACTCTGCATTGCATGGGGGTGGGGGAGGTGGGGAGGTCTGTACATGCCCTACTTGCTGGAGGTTAGCGACGCTGACAGAGTGAACACCCCTGCAGTCATCTCCACCAAGTGACACTTACCCCTGCACACAAACATTGCTCCCTCCCGAAGGGCCCTTTCACAGCCCAGGGGCCTCCCACCTAGCTGAGCCCCACTGATTAGCTTTTGTAAGAGTTTTATGTTGCAAGTTCAACCAGGTGGTGTCTGCTTGACTGCATCTGGTACCAACTCTGATTCCTCTGGCATGCACTGTCCCTCCTTGCTAGCTACAGAGAGAGCTAGGAAGGATCTACTGGCATGCCGCACCTCTGCAGCCGGCTCCCCGGAGCCCCACTCACCGGATAGGCATGTAAGAGCCCTGGAGCCATGATGTACGGATTAGGCAACAATGGTGGAACTCCAGGAGGGAGGTTGGGAGGGGCTTTTCCTGAAGGAGGAAAACACAGTGACACAGTGAAACAAACACTGATCAGATCAGCTTCTCGCCCTCCTCCACCACAGGCAGCCCCCCCCCCCCCCCAGACCAGCTCCTCGCCCCGCCCCCCCCGTACCAGATCAGCTTCTCGCCCGCCCCCCCGCCAGCACCTGATGTTGTGGCCACAGAGCTGCGCGTGGAGGCCGTCACGGTGGAGTTGCTGCCGAGGCTCAGGCCCAGGCTGCTGACGCTGCTCAGACTGGAGGAGACGCTGACCACAGGTGGGGCAGCCGAGACTGTGCTGGAGGAGGTGGAAAAAGTGCTAGCAGAAGAATGGAGGCTTGCTTCACTCTCCACACTAGTGTGCTAAAGGGGGGGTGGGGAGAGAAAGAGTTAGAGGCCCAGGCAGTCTCCACGTAGCCAAGCGGGGGTGAACCACCCCCCCGCAGGAGCAGTATGCAGGGGGGAGGGTGCAAACAGCTGTCTGGACCTGGAAATCCCTAACTGCAGCAGCGAGATGGCTTTGCTGGTGCACTGGGCATGCGGCTCTCCCAATGCGCAGGCCTGGTTTTAGTTACACGGCTCCGGCTAGCAAACAGTACCACGTGGCTGCAGGCAGAACGAAATGCAGGCAGGGAAACCCAGCGCAGCAGCTGAGCAGCTCCCAAAGTCACAAGGTGGAGGAGTTTACCTACACTAGGAAAACAAAACCCGCCGAAACCTCCCCTCAGCCACCAGGGCAAGTCTTACGGTCCCAGGTTTTAAGGGCTCCCCTACCCCTCCAGCACCCCCAAACGGGCAGCTGGGGAACAATGACAAGGGGAAGATGGGGGAGAAAATCCACTGAAGCAAGACGCTGTTGGCTCTTCACACCCCGTCACCGACTCTGCAAAGAGCCGTCCCTCTGGCAGGTTCCCTGTTCAGACTCAGGTGAGATCCTCGAACGTCAAACTGCCGCAGTCGCAATCTGGGGAACTGGCTGCCCAACAGCCAGCATGAAAAACCACCCCCGAGACTCAAGGCTCTTCAAGCTACTGATGCAGGATGAAAAGGCCCTTCGGTCTGGAAGGGGCAGTACTGAAAAAACCCACAATTAAAAAGGGAGCAAAACCCCTAAGCGAGCCTGGCCCAGCACACAGGGAACAATATAGCACTGCAAGAGAGACCAGGAGAAAGGGACCGCTCATCCCATGTGTTACCAGGGTAAGAGCAATGTCCCAGGAACACCCGGTCCCCTGATGCTTCCAATGAAACCAGACCCTCCCCTGCTCCCATAAGCAAACAGTCTGGAGCCTCCGCCGGGGATTTAAACATGCCGAGGGCAGCTCCAGAGCAATCCCAGGAGAGCGGTGTCTGGGCCCACGATTTCAGCACTGCCAGCAGTCGGTATGTCGGAGCGCTGCAGTTCAATCAGCCACAGTCTAGTCTGACTGCATCTGGTTGCAACTCCGGGTTTCTGTGGCATACGCTCCTCCCTTAATGGCTACAGCAAGCTAGTAAGGAGCTATTGGTATGCGACAAACAGGCACAGCCTCCTCTTGCCTGGAGCCACGGACAGGCATGCAATATATTGCAACAAATGCCCCCCCCATAACCTTTAGATCGCCACCCAGCCCCCTCCATGGCCAACCTGGCTGAGCCCCGCCCCATCTCAGACTGACTGGCTGCCCTCGTTACTTGGCTGTGGGCAGTTCTGCCACCAGATCTATGTTATACACATCGCCTGCTGCTGCACCGGGGCCTGGCTTTCCCAGGGGACGGTGCACCCATATTTCCAGCGAGTGGGGCCGGAGTCACAGGCGCTCAGTGCCTTAGCAGATCTGCACTGCAGCATCTGAACTCACCAGAAGAGTTGACGTTGATGTGCGCCCAGAGGACGTGGACGAGGAGAGGCTGTTCTGCTGGGTGGGTAACGTGCTGCAGGAGGAGAGAAAAAGCTGTCAAGCCAACCGCAGAGCTAGACAGCAGGGCTCCACCCCTCCAATGCTACCACACAGCTCCATTATCTTCCTCCACAGGAAACGTCAGGTGCCAGGACCGGACTGCGTTTGGGACGGACAATAGACGTGGAGAGAGCAACAAGACTGGAAGCCAGGGGCAGTCCAGCCCCTGGCAGCAAAGCTGAGCTTGCTTCCCAGGCAAACAGCACGGGACATTTCAGGGGAAGGTCCCCTGACAGCACTTTCCTTGGTGGAGCCAGTGCTTCCCTGACGCCTTGGCCAGGTAGGGGAAGGGGCACCTTTTCTTGCCAAGAATGACTGAAGCTCCATCACATGGTGTCGGAGTGAGGGGATCCTGGCGGCCCCTCTGGAGAGAGGAGGGGTGCCGCATCCCCACATGGGCAGCAAGTGGTCCCCTCCACTCACCATTTCTGTACAGGGCCTAGCATTCTGCTTCTCCAGCGATTGGCACGCCCCGAGCTCACCTGCTGAGTTGGGCGGTGGTCGTACTGGGGAGCTCCTCAGCGTGGTTCAGGCTACTCAGAGCTGATGAGTGCTGACTGGCTGTTGTCAGCAGGGATGATGCGGATACTGCATCGTTCAGAGGTGCGATATTGGGGGCAGAGGGGGAATCTGATTTCACCACAGGGCCTGGAGCACCTACGAATGAAAGCTGTGGTTAGGGGCCTTCTGAGCACTGGAAGAACACCAGCACTTTCCACCCGTAAACATTCCCCCTCCCAACAGCCCGTGGAGGAAGGGGATGCAGCATGAACTGGCAGCGAGAGCACAGAACTAGGGAGATGGGAGACCTGGGGCTTACTTCTGGCTCTGCTGCTGACCTGCTGCATGACCATGGTCAAGCCACTGCACCTCTGTGCCTCAGTTTCCCTCAACTGTAAAACGGAAGCAGCGATCCTTATCCAGCTTCACACAGAGCTGAGATCTAGGAATGAAAAGCCCTTGCTAAGGGCCAAGGATCATCATCGGGAATAGACTGTCCCACTTCACAGGCACCCAAGTTAAGTGACCTGCCCAAAGTCACAGAGGCAAGTGGTAAAAGACCGAACATTTTAGGGTAAGCCAATCAAACAAGCAGCACAGAGCGGGCCAGCAAGGTGAGGATTTTCTGCCAGCCTGGATCAAGGCTGCTGCTCACAACCCCCAAAGGGGCACAAGGGCACGTGTGGTGTGAGCAAACCCAACCCCCCGCATGTCATGCTGGCACTCACCTTCGACGGCCTGCGTGGTTTGTAACTGTGTGGGCTGCACAGAGCTGAAACCATTCTGGAAAAGAAAGGGGAGAATTCGGTAAAGGCTGCGGCTTGTCCTCACTGACCGCTCTGCATTTGTTTCACTCCCCTCCAGGCCCACACAATAGCTCCCGGAGCAGACTTGTGACCGTACGAATTGTCAGACGGGATCAGACACAAGGCTAACCTCGTTCAGGCTCCCCTCAGACCATGGGCAGTACCAGATGCTTCAGAGGAAGGTGCAAGAAACCTCCTAATCCCTAGTAGAGACCAGCTCAAGCGCTGATCAAGAGGTCTGCATCGCCTCCAACACAGATGTTTCCATTAACTATTCCCACTCTGGATAGTTTTGTGATCCATAGGAATGTAACAAGCCCTTCTGGAATCATGCTACAGTCTCAACCTCAGCACTACCCTTCTGCAGTGAGTACCACAGGTGTGTGTGAAAAGCAGAACTGGCTGTCAGTTTTCATTTGGCCACCAGTGAATTTCACTGCAGGCGAACAAATCTCAGCGCTGGGACTCTTGATACCAGTGCATTTGGCAGGCACATGACATGTGACCAACTGGTGAGGGGTTCTCAGTACATTTATCAGATTTCACAAGACAAGAGGCGACACTAAAGGATCCTCGAGGCAATTCTCCCACCCCACCCGGAGAGGTCACCAGGCCACCCTGAGCAGCCTGCAGGGAAGACCAGAAAGGGACAGACTCTCCAAGCAGCAGCACCAGCCCTCTCAGCAACTGACCCAGGTGTGGCGTGGCAGGCTCCAGGACGCTGTGTGCAGCCCTTGGCCAGAGAGAGGGGAGACACTAGGGATCACGGGAAGGAAAGAGAAAATCCCACACATTCCCCATCCCAAGAAATAACTAGATCATCCACTGCTGGCACTGCAAACACACCCTCCACACCAGCACCCAGGGGGCCGCACTGCAGCTACAAGGCCCGGATTACACCTATGCCTACTTGGGGCTAAATGAACGATAAAGCTCCAATTTACAACAAATATTGACAGACCCTGCCACTAGCTGGTGGGGCAGATTTTGCAAGGAAGTTACAGTGGAATCACGGGTTTCCTCACTCACCTCTCCATTTAAAGTGACCCACTCCCACCTCTCCTCCTTCAGTCCTGAGCAAGGCCAGTTTGCAGACAACCATCACATCCTGTGGTGATGACAGCCGCTCCACCTCTGCACAGCAGCTACCCCCTAGCTCAGGAAGAGGAGAGGGCTTTTCCATAGCAAGCCAGCAAAGCTGGGCACTCGGCTCTCCCTCTGCCGTGATCTGCAGGGCCCAGTTATCAGCTTTTTGATTCCTCTTACACCTTTCCTGTGCTGCAGAATTACAGCCACCCCTCCACACAGGGTTTCACACTCTGCCACGGTAAGACAGCACCACCGAGAGGGGATGCGCTGGCCCTGGAAGGCAGTCAAGGCCAGCTCCCTACCTTGGCCTGGGTCAGGTCTTTCTGGGGCGAGGAGGAGATGGAGTTTGGGTATCGCCTGGTCTGGGTGGATCTCTGTTCATACAGTGGTCCCTGAGCGCTGTTCTGGGAGGTATACGTTGCTGTCTGTATTGTGCCGCCCTGGTAACCAGACTCCTGGCTTTGATTGGACGAAGATTCACTACACAGAAAGAAAGGAAGGCGTTTATTTTCTCTCCAAAATGACCCTGCTGGGCTGGCAGCCTCGAACCTTTGCTTAAATGTGCTAACCAATGTAGCTGCTCAAACCCAGCAGAGAAGTGCAGCCAGGAGAGGGATGGCCCAGCCACAGAGAGACTCTCACTGAAAAAGGCTTGTGGTGCTGTGGACTGAGCACTGGACTGGAAGCCAGGAACTCCCAAGTTCTGACTGCTACTGACTCTCTGCGTGGCCCAGGCCAAGTCACTTCATCTCTCTGGGCTTCCTTTTCCCACCCATACAATGGAGCTAGTACTTAGGAGGAGGCTGTGAGGACCGGCTAATGCAGGGATACTCAGAGCGAGGCTTGCAGCAGCTCTTTAATGGATCGCCTGCAGCTATCTGCAGCACATGATATTAAAACCCTGTGCGATTTAATCACTAACTACAGTTATTAACCAATCAGGAGGCTTTTACCATGTTATTAACCACCTGTAGTTGATAAAATAATAATACTTGGTCAGTCATTTTGCTGTGAGAATTGTATACATTTCCCCGGCCAGGCTGTTTAAATATGAATTTATAGCACTCTAGTAAATGAAACATGAATTCCCACAACTGTGACTCTTGGGTAATGCTGATGGCTAATTTGGCTCCTGAACCACTGAGGTCTGAGTATCTCTAGGCTAACGGTTCCGTAATGCTCGGAATAAAACTAAGCGTGAAAAATCCAGGCAAGTTTTCCCCTTTCTGACAAACTCAGAGGTTTGATAAGGAGAGAGGATATAAATCTATGTAAAATCAGACTGGACAAGCACATAAACCGGGGACACACGGCAATGGCTGGAGGAGGAACTGCCGAACGTTACAGGTCTTCCCCAGCTCTTCCACCCAGCTCTGAGCAGTAACCGCACAGAACCCAGACGTCACTGAAACCCTTGGGAATTACTGTGCCACGGACCTTGCACAGGAAGGGGCTGAGGCAGGCAGCTCAGCTGTAAGTCACTGTTTACATTAGAGCTCCTGAGGGCCCATTTACTCTCACAAACCATGACTGCTTCCTCCACTCCCCGGCCTGAATGCCAGACATCTCCAGTAACGCCGCCGGGACAAAAGGGCCAACGCTTCCTGTTCAGCATTACATCAGGGCAATGTTGTTGCGCAATAAGGGATGCCAGGGACTGGGAGTGGCAGCAGCTCCCGAAGGAGGATCAGCTAGTCAGCCTGGGGTGAGAACCCTTCCATTTGACAAGGCACGCTCAGTCTGAACGGACAGACATGCTCAGCTCTCTCCCGGTTTGCTACAGAAGTCTCCACAGTCTGTATTTATAGCGTGAAGAAGGCGGCACACTGAACCTGTTCACCTGGAACAAGGCGCAGTTGTGCTGGGATTCCCCTCTCATTATTCGCAGGGAGTGGTTTAACGGCAGCAGGAAACCTGCCCGAATTTACTTTCTGTTTAAGTACCGCAGGCCAATCAGCCATAGGTTTGTCTGAATGAGTCCGCTGGCAACTTAACTGTTTACTGTTGCATACGCTGTCCCCCCTTTATGGCTATGAGACCAGCCAGAAAGGGTCTACTGGTATGCAGTATAGTTCGGGAGCTCCCGGAGCAGGCTGCAGGGTCAGCTCATTGACACAGGCAGCTTGGACACCAAGGAAACTCCCACCCCACTGTGCTGTGGCTGGTACAGGAGACTCCAGAATCTCAGCAGTACAAACAAGGTGCCCCTATGGAAAGGGTGAAGCTGTTTCTCCTCCTGACCCTGCAATGGGTTAGAGCATAGAGGCTCTTTATAGCAGGTCCATTGAGACCCAGACAGAGCTGGAAGCAAGGCTGCCCCTAATGGCTAAGGAGCAAGTGCTACCTGCCTCTGTCCACCATGGGCATTGGGGTGTTTCCCTGCGCACCCCAGGCCTTTACCTCGCAGTGCTGGTGTAGAGGCTGCTTTGAGACTGGCTCACAGAGGCGCTCGTCGTGGGCGTTGATTCGTACTCCGAGAGAACAGGCTCCGAACCAAACTGTAATGCCCCAAACTGCAGGTTTAGCCCTGAGATATCTGCTGAGCCAGGCATTTCCACCGCGAGAGCAGGAATCTGCAAAGGAAGGAGGGGTCCCTGAGAGGCAAGTCACTGCAAGGACAACCGAACTGGGCCACAGGGACTTCGCGCGAGCGTCCTGCAGGGACAACCGCCTTGAACAACAAATCAGACTGAAGCAGGCAGAGAAAATCCGACCTGTGCACAGGAGGGCCCTAACCTCAGCCCGCCCCACACTTCAGTGTCACAATGCTAGAGGTAGGTCAGCTGACCAGCAGCCCCAGAATACAGGGATCAGGCCACAGGGGCTCACCTACACGGATGTCTGCAGGGTTACAACTCTGCAGTCAGATATTGAGATACTGAGAACCCCAGACTTGACTTCCGTGACACCCACCCTCACCCTGCTTGAATTTCGAACACGTTCTCCCCTGTGGTCTGCAGGTGCTCTGGGCGCTCCGGATTATGCTGTGAACATGAATCTGTTCAGCCTGGAACACAGAAGCCAACGAAGAGCCTAATCCAACCCAGGGTAGTCAAATCCAGCTCCACTCCCATTAACAGGGTGGGAGGCTGCTACAACTCCAACACAGCTCTGCCTCGATCCTGCTGCCACCTCCCTGCACACCCCATACCTTAGATGTCAAGGAGGCTTTCTTCTTCTGCTGCTTGAGCTTCTGCTGCACTGGCTGGGGACTGGAGGACTGGTTGTCCGATGACCCCGGGGACATCTGGGGAACAGGGTTGGTTTTGCTGGGCAGAGGGGAAGACGGGGGGGGCGGTGCCGTTGTAGAGGCTGTCACCACAGGCTGCTTGTCCTGCATGAACACCTCCATCATCGCTGAGGCTGGCGTGAAAGCCTGACGCTTGGTGAAGGGGCTGTGAACGGATGAGTCCGTCGGGTTCTTTAGATCTGCCACGCGAAACAAGGTTGGATCAATACCGGTTGTTTTGTGAGAGCGAACGCTAGTCCTGCCACTTCTAGGTTTCAGTAATGAAATAAATGATTCGGACCTTGCCCCTCCCTGGAGCCTTTCATCGAGCATCTCAAAGCTCTTCACACAGTTAGTTAACCTCCAGGGAGATATCAGGCCCCTCCTACATGGGCGCATGGGGAATACCACTCCCAAGGGAGTCAGGGGCATTGCTGGGAAAAGAACCGCAGGAGCCCTGACTCCCAGTCCAGCATTCTAACCAGACCCCTGCCCTCTTCCACGGGCAGCATGCTGAGGTGTCGAGCACTCCACCTTTCAGCTCAGCGTGCAAGGCCTCACTGCGGCTCTTGCCATGAAGTTTAGGGGAGGAAGGAAGCAGATCTAGCCAGCAGAGCTCCTCCATCATAGAACAACTGCAAATGCCTCTCACACGAGAGCACGGAACACCGACTCTCACAGAAACCTGGCTTTGCTTCCCTGCCCTCCTCTGCAAGTTTGGCTGCATTGGATTGCCCAATTCTTCTGCTTCACCTACCGCGTACCCAGCGAGTAACACCCAGGCCTTCCTCCCCTCAGCACGGCTGCACCTCCTGCACCCTTCAGCACCACGGCTTACTAAACACGACTCCCATTCTCTCTGCCTCTGCTCTGGGGCTCCTGATCTGAAACGCTCAGAGGATGCCAACACCGGCGGCTGCAGGAACAGGGCTGAGTTTTTTCCTCAGCTCATATTTGAACCAGAGCCATTTCCCCCGAGCAAGAAACAACGTGTAGAGGCTGAAAGAACAGCACCAGCACTAGACCATGCAGGGCTCGGAGAGACCTTCCAAGCGCAGAACAGCTAGAGCTGCTCTTGTGTCGTAGGTATTCCCCCGGGCCAGGAAAATCGCTTCCTTTCCCCACTGGCCTCTGGCACGAGAGCCACCAGCACAGGCTAGTTTCCTTTCCAAGGGGCCCGATGAGATCAGCAGCCCAGCTCCCTCCAGCAGACGGAGGGGACACATGCCTGTGTATCGGAGCTCTATTCCGCAGGCTTGCTCCTGGACTCCCAGTACTTGAGGCCACCACTCACCAAATTCCCCGCTACAGATCTCTGCATTTAGAGAACATGCCAGGCTACGGAAATAGCCAGGGGACTGGTCAGCAGATGCCTGCGGGTGGAGTGTCCATGTGGCAGGCTGGCAGTGCAATGGGCTCATTTCGGCTGCTGGGAGCGGAGAAGGGACCAGGAAAGACCCTGACAGGGTCTTAATGAGCAATAATTACTCTCCAATCAGAGGGCAATGAGATGCATGTTCCCAGAGATTATTTCTGAATGGCAATGAGCCCAAAGGCTCCAGGGCTCGCTCCTCCACGCCACCCTCTGCAGCCCTGGCTGCAATCAATTCCCCGCCCGGAAACCGTGGCCTCGATGCCTTACCATACTGCACGAGAGCCGAGGGCTGTGCTGGGGATCCCATGTCCCAGGAGGAGGAGGTGTTGCTCCCGCCAGGCTGGGTGTGCTGAGCCGCCAGCTGCGCCAGAGCCTGAGCGGTCTTGAACTGCTCCAGGAATTGAGAGCCTGTGGTGCTGCTGCTTTTGGCCTCTCCAACCTCTCCAAACCCCTTCCCCAGCATGCTCACCTGGGGTTTGAACCAGGACAGGACAAGTCACCACTCAAAGCAGGGGCTAAGATTTCCAAGGGCAGCCCTGAGCCGCACGAAAGCGGAGTGCCCCGGCGCTGCCTGTTTCACACACAGGCTTTGCTGCCAGTGGATGTACTGGGGGGGCTGTCTTAACGAGGGGTTTTATGCTCGTATTTCACCCTGTGCTGCGTGTGATGCCAGGTTTTAAGGGGATGGACGCAGCACAGCTGAGCTCTCCAAAAAAGGTAACAGGTGGATCTGCAAGAATCCCTAAGTGCCACTGAAAGTCCAGGGGGCTCCTGCTCCCCAGTCACATAGGGGCTTTGGAAAATGCCACCCCTCATTATCCTCCCAATCTTTCTGCCAGGGCGACACAAAGAAGCAGTTGTCCAGCTCCAGGCACCTCTCTGGGACCATTTCAACAATTCCCTTCTTCGCTCTTCAATACAGGACTGCTGGGCTCTCAGCGGCTGCGGGGTACCCCTGTGTTCGGCTGCTGGTTGGCCAAGAACCAACCCGGCACAAGCTACGCCTGAGATGCAGGGACTGAGTGGAGGAGGGACACGCAGGACAGAGCACAGAGGCGGCACTCGCCTGCCTTAAGGAACAGGCACATTTGGTGCTTTGAAACCAGGGTCTGTCCTTGGGACAAGTCACCTCCCTGAGAGGGAGAAATCGGCTCTCTGTGAAGCCTCCAGAGGGAAGTACAGAACAGGAGACACCCAGCAAGGCTACAGTCACAGGCCCAGCTGCCCAGACACACTCGGGGCCTGCTCCCTTGCTGTGGTTACCACCCCTCAGTCGCCCTTTCAGATAACACAGCTCACTGCTGCTCAGAGGCTCTGGGATTCACTTTTCCTCTTTTGTAAGGAGACAGGCACGTGGCCTAGCGTTAGCAAGGACTGAACAATACTCCCGCACTGAGGCTACCCTGCTCCGTCACCTAATTCCTATCAACTCACAACATCGGGAGCCAGGAGCACAGGCTGAAGCTGTAAGTCACACAGCTCGGGGATTCTCAACTAACTGGTTGCACCCACTCTGCCCCTCCCCTATTACGCACAGAGAGGGTCTCAGAAGGTGGCTGAGAACCACTGAAGTCCGCAGGCCCCCTGCCGTGCCTAGGAGGTGGTGAGTGGCAGTTTCCTTACCATGCTGTGATGAGGGAAGGCATTCCCAGATGCAGGCTGGGATATAGCCGTCTGCTTGGAATTGCTGAACACAAGAGGCTGGGCAAGAGAAGGAGCCTGGGTTGAATCCAGGTTTGATGACTCATTCTCCAGAGAAGAAGGTGTCTTTCCTAACAGCACCGCAAGATCAATTCTGGGAGAAGGAAAAGGATGAAACCACCAAGGTTAACAGGAGCCGTACCATCCCTTGAGGGTTAATAGCTGTCTATTCCCGCCAAGAACATCCTTCCCCACCCCCGTGACCTCACAGAGATTCACACACCACCACCTCAGCAACTGTCTCTAGCAACCTCAAAGGACCGACTGAAAGGAGCAGCCACCTGTACCTACTACAAGAAACCAAAAGGAAAAACCAGGCCTAAGAGCAACAATGACGTATGGGCACCTGGGCAAGACACACCTGTGCTACTTATCGGCTAGGCTGAGTAAGTGGAGCGAATGTAACCCTGCCAAACTACTAAGAAAAGTCTGGCAAGCAACATAATGGACAGAGACAGAAAGGTTTATGGTAACGCAGGGCAATCAAATTAAGTTACACAAAACAGAGTCACATCCAAGCAGGTGAAACCTTGACTAATAAATGAGCAGGCCACCGATGTAACTGTTTTCCTGGGACCAACAACTGACATGTTAATGGTTTTCACTTACATGTCGAGCTCAATTAATTGTCTGCAAGAATAAATCTACGCTCTATGGGGATAATTCTGAATTTTGATCAGACCTTTTGGAGGAACTCAAAGCTTTCTACAGACATGAATAACCCTCACATCCTCCTGGGAAGTAGTTAAGCATCTTGGCTGAGACGTTCAAATCGGTCTAGGGGGTTTAGACACATCTCTGTCGTGAAAATCAACAGATGTGCCTAAATCCCTTAGTCTGTTCTGAAAATCTCAAAGCTGTTTTACAAAGGGAGAATCCGATGAGCCCATGCCAGAGATTATAACAGAACTTGGGAACATGACCTATGAAGGAAGGCTGAAAGAATTGGGTTTGTTTAGTTTGGAAAAGAGAAGACTGAGAGGGGACATGATAGCAGTTTTCAGGTATCTAAAAGGGTGTCATAAGGAAGAGGGAGAAAACTTGTTCACCTTAGCCTCTGAGGATAGAACAAGAAGCAATGGGCTTAAACTGCAGCAAGGGAGGTCTAGGTTGGACATTAGGAAAAAGTTCCTAACTGTCAGGGTGGTTAAACACTGGAATAAATTGCCTAGGGAGGTTGTGGAATCTCCATCTCTGGAGATATTTAAGAGTAGGTTAGATAAATGTCTATCAGGGATGGTCTAGACAGTATTTGGTCCTGCCATGCGGGCAGGGGACTGGACTCGATCTCTCGAGGTCCCTTCCAGTCCTAGAATCTATGAATTCCTGGCTTCCAAACCTGGGCTCCAAGCACTTAGTCCTTCCACTCAAACCCACGTGAACTTATCCAGAGCTCCTCAATTTTGTCCAAGTGGATAGCCATCTGACACAACAAATCCTGCACCTTGGCAGGGCGTTAGGCTAGGTGACCCTTGCGGTCCCTTCTAACCCTATGGTTCTATGAAGCAATGCCCTGCCCCCAGACTACCATATCGCTATTGCCATAGCATTGTTATTAAGCCATCACCTCTGGCCAGCTGTGATTGTCACATTCTCTGCAGGCAGAGGCACTGAAGACACACTGGAGGCAGTGAAGATCTTGGTCTCCGAAAGCTAGAAAACAGAAGAGGGAGGTAACCCACATATTAGAACCATGCTTTAGGGCTCCAAATAAAAGAGATTTCAAAGTTAAAGCAAAAACGCAAAGAAACTGGGGCTGGGCAGAACATGTGCAGGAAGGTTCGCTCATGGCATCCCACAAGAATCAGCGTGTGGCTTTAGCGCTGATAAAATGTTTGGTGCTGATCAGAAGCAGCCAGCCCTTGGTTTTGCCTGGGTTCACCCTCCTCAATGACTCAGTCAATCAGCTGCCAGGGTTAGACAGCATTTCCACTCAGTGCTGGCAGCCCCTCAGTCAGTGAAAAATCCGTTGGGAAACAGGCATCTGGAAACTCACCAAGTGCAGCACCCCAAACCCACCCGACATGGAGGAGGAAACATCTGTGAGAGGAGAGTCAGCTGAGCCTCAATTCCCACAGCCAAGGTGAGGACTTCTGGCTACTGGGCCAAGGACCCACAGGCCTGCTCGGGCGGTGAGGAAGAACTGCTAAGTTAGGCCCTGAGCCAGCAAAGCCCCTCAGCACGTGCTTGCATTTCACTCATGTCAACGGACAAGCCGAAGTGGGTCTACAACCAGCAAAGGGGCAGTCTGCTTTCTACAGCCCCAGTAACTACTGTCTGAAGTCTAAGGAATGCTCAGGAGAGAGGGATGGGAAGTTTTAGAGCAGCCACCAACCACAAAGTTTAGAGTGGACTATATTTGTATATAAACAGCTTTTATCCCTGAGAGAGAAGCCCAAGAATGGTTGCAAGGACCTCTGCAAGTAATGGCCAAAAAAACAAAAAATCACAGAAAACCATCCCAGGCCAGAGCGTTTGCTTTGCCTGCAAAGGGCCTTCATGTAACACAAGAAAGGGTGTCCAGACTGCTTTCAAGCAGAGACCTGATGAGCGCAGGAACAGCTCTAACTGCCTGTGTTTCTACACACAGCACTAACACTTCCTTCGGACAGCGCCTGAAGAATGAATGCCTTTTCCTTTGCTGTCAACTCCAGCTGCCCAGCTGAAAGGAAGTGAAAAAATGTACAATAAAGGGCTCAGTCCTGCAGCCATTTAAGGTGATAGCAAAACTCTCCCTTGATTTAAATGGCAGCTGGATCAGGGCCAAAGTTAGGAGAACTTTAAAAACCAAGGCAAAGTTTCTTCTGAAGCAGTGGAATTGGATGCCGAAAACACAGATAAAGCCACAAGATGAAAATGAGACAAGCCACAGATTAACACAGAAGGAAGAGCTCAGAGCTCCTGGAAATGGGCATAAAAAGCACAACCTTGGCAATAAAGACAAGCAAAGGTACTTGACATTCTGCACCCAGACTCCCTCCCTCCAGCCCCAGAGTAGATATTACAGATCCACAAGAGGCCGAGCTTTCCAAGCTGCAAACTCGCAGCGTTAACTTTCCACAGAGTTCGGTAGCGACAATATTTAATCCACCTGAGTCGTGCAGTGCAGTTCCTGGAACAAGGAGCCTGGTTTGGGGCTATTCCTACAGTCCTCAGCTAGCAGGTTTTGTTCCCCTTCTATCATGGGGAGGGGATTGAGAGTACCTACATCTTCATTCCAGTCCTCTGTTCCCCATTCCTCCGTCGCTGTCCTCCATGCACCTGCAAGGAAAGCAAGAGTTGGGGAAGTTTGCTGCGGGTCGTAACCCCATTTCTCACAAAAGCCAGGAAAGTGGTTTGGGAGCATAGCAGGCAGCTGGATGGGTTCTTACTCACCAACCAGGCACAGGCGAGAGGCTAAGAAAGGCTGCGCACAGACACACCCCAACACCAAAGCAGAAACTCAGGGTATTGGGTTTAGCCAGGGGGCTCCCTGGGTTCTTCCCCAGCCCCTTTGCTCAGAATCATCAGTTTTCCTGCTTCCCCCTCTCCTTGCAGAAGCTGCACCCACAACCAGCTACCCCCAGCCCAGCAGAGACCAAGAGCACCACCTCTAGAATGCCTTCTGCCAGAGGTGGTACCAAAGTCCAGCTCTCTTGTGGGACATCACCATGCAGCTCGACTGGCTAGCAATCATTTGGGTTTTCTTAAAAGGACACCGTCAGATCAAAGTTCAGTCCCACGTTTCAGGGACTTTTATAAGACCCAAGAACTGAAATGTTTACCTGGGTTTATTTTTGTTTCAATGAGAACGTTTCCCTGCAGTGTTTGAAACCCAACACGGGGGGCACTTTGCCTAGTGCATGAGACTCTGAAAGTGAAATCTACTAGGAATCTGTGATTCATGAATTTTCCTTGCCCAATTTCAGACAAATGCAAAAGGTGAACAGATAAAATACTGCAGTGAAAAGATCATCATGTCGGTTTCAATGCTCCAAGGTTTGATTTGTAAAGACAGAGAAATTTATTTTTTTTAAAAATTGTTTTTAACCTGACTGCATCCCCTACAAGCCCTCCCCCCATACACGCACACACCTCAGTTTGAACTGAGCACTCTGGGTGTAGCATGCTCACTTCAGAGTCCACTAGAAACTTAATTTTAGGTCCTGGGGTGGGAGGAGAGGGGGAGCATTTCACATCAGAAAAATCAGGGCTCAAAAGCAGCCTGCCACTTTTCGGCAGGTCATTTTCACCCATACAAACCAGACTAACCAAAAATAAATAAATAAATAAAATAAAATAAAAAAAGCCACACAGCCAACAGGGTTAATTCTATAGACATTTACAAGAATAGGACGAGTTCTGCCCATGACAACACCTTAATCAGCTGACGAGCTTTTTATAACTTGTAAAAGTGGAACATTTTGATCTCTGGTTCTTAGAGGCTAGTCCGAACCCTCCCAGATTTGGAGGGGGGGGGAGGGGAATTTCCAGAGAGTCTATCATTGTCAGGCCAAGATTTGAAAAGTCTCCCAGTTCCAGAGATGCAGCTGCTTGAGAGCACCAAGGAAGCAAATTACTAGCAGAGCCTATTGTTTATTTTGCCTGGCAAACTGAGCCTATTCAAACCTCTAAATATTTTATTCTATTAAGGATCAAAACATTAATACAGTTTAACCCCTTGGGTCCTTGCAGCCTCCGGGCACCCCACACTTAGAGACACACACACCCCCCGCGCCCCAGATGGTATAACACAGGCAAGGGAAGAGTACATGCTACCCTTTGGGGGGGTGGGGAAGAGTTAACGCCAGCTTTCCCCATTTCTCATCTGCTTTTTGGCTCCCTCAGCAGCAGTGTGACGGCTCCTTTCCAGGCCTTCGGGCACGAGAGCCCGTCTCCCTACCAAGGCAGAGGCTAGGCACCGCAATCCAATGGCGATGGGCAGAAAGCAAGAAACAGAGTCTGTGCTGAGGGACATGGCCCTGGGCTCCATTTTATTTCCCCCTCTCAGATCACTTTTGGGAACAAGAGGAAGAGCAGAGGGGCAGGGAAGGCTGAGCTAAACTCTTCAGCTTCCAGACCCATGAGAAAGGCTTTCGCCACACTCCAAAACATCTCCCCTACCAGGCTGCTTCACAGGTGTCACATACCCAGTCCAGCCCGAGATTTCTTGTGCATGGGGAGGGAAGGAGTGTAGTATGCAAAGAGCTGCTTTCTATCTAAGATGCTCTCCAGAAAGGAAATGGATGGTTTCCTAACCAGCACACTGTATATCTACCTTGCTGAAAATACACCAAACATCCCACTGAGCTCCTGGCCAGGCGAGATCATCTCCAGCGAATCCAGCACTCTGACACTCAAGACGGTGTCCTATTCAGAAAGACAGGAGATTGCCTGCCCTGCCCTCTCCCGCCTGCTGAAAGAGTCTCTTCCAGGGCTGTTGCTCCTCTCTCTTAGGGAAGGAGCTGGAATATTATCCATTTTCAAGGCAGCAGAGGTGCAGCGATTGAGTCACCTAGTACTGGACAGTGGCTCAGGTGACTTCCCAGACACAGAGCCTGCTCCTGTAACAGCAGCTAAACATTCCCTCTGGACAGCCCGGTGCCCTGTTGCACTTGCCATAAGCTTGAAGAGAGGGACTCCTCGGTGGCCCCATTTCTTTTCTTTTCTGACATCTCTCCAACATTAACATCGGAGTCTGCTGCTCCCGTAACTGACCAGGAGGCCTGCAGGTGCCACAAGTCACTAGCTGGATACTCACTGACCTAATTCAGAGAAGAGCGACTGGGCCCAAGAAGCTCCATGTCCTGGAATGGCAATCCAGATGCACACGCAAAGGGGTGCGACACTGAATGGCAGAACTCCCGCAGCTGGGTTCACACGAACAGCTTGTGCGCTACCCACTGCTGGAGGTCTCAGCTCAGAGCTGCAAACCGGCCATAAAGGAACAGGAAACTGCAGACCAAAGGGACATGCAGGCTTAATCTCGGGCGGAGAACTGGAAGGAGAAGCAGGTAATGGAAAACCTGCACCCGAACACTCAGAAGATCCTTATCCAGAAAAACAGGCTGACTTCAACGGCCAAGCTTTCCCCCTTTATTCTTCATGTTCCATGGTAAAGCGGTGGATTCTCCATCCCTTGAAGTCTTCAGATTGAGACTGGCTGCCTTTCTGGAAGATCTGCTTTAGTCAAGCAAGCTAGTGGGCTCAATGCAGGGATGACTGTGAAATTCTCCGGCCTGTGTGACACAGGAGCTCGGAACTGATGATCTAATGGGCCCTTCAGGTCTTAAAGTGCATAATAGTAAAGATCCCAAAGGCAGGAAGCAAAGTGACAAGGCCCTAAATCTCTGAGGCATCAAGTGTGCAAGGAATCTCAGAAATCCAGGAACCTCGGGCACATCTGTGCACAGGAAGGAGGAGTGGTGGCATGCCAGAGCAGCGACTAATCAATGCATTGCTTACCAAGAAGCAGTTGTAAGTGGGAGTGATGTGCTGAGATAGCCTAGAAGGCCTAATTACACCTGCAGCAGCATTCCGAACCCTCCGCAGAAACTTGTTCTGGAGGCCAGGGAGCAGAGCGCTGCAATCACTGAGCCTGGGACTCTAGGAACTAGCCAAGTCCGAAATTTTTGCATTTGAGTGAGAGAGACAGGAACTGGAGCGGCCTAGCACTTCCTTGTACTGGGTAGGATGTTGTCAGGGCCATAACCCTGGTGGTGCTGAGGGTGCAGACAAGCAGTGGCTGAACCTGGAATTTACATCACCCATGTGCCTTTAGACATAACCGCTCCTGATTTACATTTAAGGTGTCAGCATTAGTAAAAGCACAGTCAGAACAAACATCAAATATTCATAAGAATGACATATCCACAGATATTTCAGTTTTTAAAATAAGCTATAAAGTAAAGGTATCCGGGGCAGTTAGTGCGCCTGGATGTATCATACCAGGAGCAGTGTCAAATTTTCGGGGATAATTTGAGCCCTCACCCCCAATGAAATCAAGTCCTGAAACAAAAAAGAAAAGAAAAAGAAAAACAACCAGTGAAATTTTGGCTTGAGAACAAGTTTCATTGCCCCCACGTACACCAGTCACATTGTACCTGTGGATATTGCTAAAATTAAAGAGAGATGCTCAAGGCTGCTAAAATGGAAAAACAAAATGATCATGCAGGACATGTCTGTACAGAACTTATCATGAAATTACACTATGGACACATTATAGCACAGAAGCAAACCTGGATCCTTCTATGTGGAGTGAAGCAATGGTCTCTCCCCACCCAGTAATTACAGACTCTGTTTAGATTTACCCTTCCTAAGAACACTGGTTTGGGTGTACACACAATGAAAATCTACTTGGAAAAGAAAGGTATGAACTTGCAGTAAGTAGAAGTGGTGCATTTCTATCCATTCTTTTATCCTACACAGTGTAAACACAGACATCCTCTTGCCCCAGAGGTATGGATTCTTATCCAGCCCCCTGACAGTCCAGATTAAATGGCTACACTGTCTCAGACCCATCGGTAGGAGTTTCAATCTGCTAAAAAGCTGTGACCAAAAAAGTGATCTTTTTGAAAAGGCTATTCCCGGTCTTCAAAAGAGGAACAAAATTAGAGCTGCACGCTGTGAAGGTGCAATAATCCATTCTAATGAACAACAGCTTTGAAAGTGAGACAGAAAAATGCATTTGCTAGATTACCCTAACTACAGCATAATTACGATATTAACCACTTCCTTACACAGACAGAACGTACTCAATGGAAACTAACAAGTAACAGGACTTCAGTTGGTATTTTGGAAGAAGGAGAATAAAACTGAACTGTCATGGCTGAGGCAGGCAGGCAGGCAGACAAATGGGACAGTGTCAGAATCGTCTGTTTTAAAAGTCTGATGTATGGTGGTGGGAGCTTGGGCTCACTTGAGTAACTCAGAGGACAGAGCTGAGCAGCACAGAAGTTCTGACCTCACTGTGGTGTAAGACACTGCTCCGGAAGAAAACCTCCCCTCTAAACGCACCGATGTCTCAAGACTAGCTTTAATTAGAGAGTGTCCCATGAGACTATGTCCAGTTACTGCATTGCGAAAATTGCATCTACTCAAATCTCACAACCCACCCCCAGCGTCTATATGAAAAACACAAAACCCCATTTTCACAATGCAAGAAAATGGCAAGAGAAGAGTGCTTGGACAGCTCAGCAAGGAGCAGAACTCCTGGGCAAAAAGGGAGGCCCTGAGTATCGACTCCCCAGAAACCAGCTTTCTGTATTAAGATCTCATCTTGCGAACAGTTTGGGGTAGGACGCAGAGCACTCCCATGTTGGAATACAGCGAAAGCTGACATCTGAACGCAGAAAGCACGGCTCAGGAGGATGCACTACATGCAAGAAAAAGCTGCCACTGGTCAGCCGTATCGTTGTTTACACAATGTCCTCTGTGCTGACAGGTGTGCCAAAACACAGCCCCTATGCCAGGAAGCAGTCAGAGGCAAGTGTGCCCGTGCCCTCAGTCAGCACCTTCGCCACCTCATAGCAGGGCACTGCACGACTCAGGGGTTTCCAGTGCACAGACTAGATCTGACTGTGCAGCTGTCACACTTCCACTGATAACCTCAAAGTGTCGAATAGTAAAACTTACCAGGAAACCCAATGAACACACACCGGACACTTGCAACAAGAACAGCATTGGGCATAAGGAAAGCAGGTCACTGAATTCCTGCCCTGAATCCACAATCCATTCCCTTGCTATTTTATCCACGTGCCTGAAGGGGACTTGCAAGAAACCCATTTTTGATCTAACCAGCAGGTAGTAATGGGACGGAAGCATGGAGGTCACTTACTTGTCCCATCGTCGGGCTCAAAGCTACCGGTACTGTTCCATGTGTTGTTGCTATTCCCATAGTTCTCCTCCGTGCTGGTTGGCTCTGCATAATCAGCTGGGTTGAAAGTTCTGGAACACAGATTGGGGGGAGCAAGTTTAGATTTCCTCGTAACTGTTGTGAATGAAAAATCAATCACATTTAAACCAGGACATAGCTAAACGATTCCTAGCAGACCCCGTCCACTTTGTAAGACAAACCTACTGCGGTCTTAGCCATTCCAAATGCAACTCAGTATGATACAGCTGCTGCAATGGGACAGGTACACAAACCAGCAAGGAATGACAGAACCCGCCAGTTAGACTTGTGTTGTCCCCTGCCCACCCCCGTGCAGAGACAAACTCACAAATGATCTTGCTTTTCTTGTTTTGTATCCAATAAAAACTTACCCCATTCCCTGGGCAGAAAATCTTCCCCCCCGCCTTCCAGAGCCACCTGTGAGAGACAAACACACATCAGTGTAGTCCTGCCGTCAAACAGCAAGGCTCACAGCTGTGCTGTGTGTTGCTGGGAAGGTAAGTGTTCAACACTATGCGGCATTTCAGATGCCCAGTATGACAATGTCCAGCATCTTCCTGCATTGATAAGGTTTCAGACTGCTCCTTTTACATGCATACGAATTACACGTTAGAGGTGTAATAAGGGATAAATGATTCCAGCCACAGATTAGCTCCCCGTCGGTCGCAAGGCACAAATATGAGAGGCCAGACTCCAAATCTATAGGACATGGCCTCATCAGCAATTACCAAACAGCTCAGGTTGTTTCATGGAAAGATTTATTTTTAGACTCTCAGCAATGAGAACGAATGAGTGCAGCTCACAGAGAGGCAGCAAAGCTGCCCAGAGGTACCAGCTGCTAACAAATGCTTTCCCTGAACTCATACAATAGCCACCTTTGTCTTAGCCCCCCCCCCCCCCCCCACCTGTAAAATGGGGTAATATTTAACTAAGCCTCAGGGGTAGGGTATGAGAACTAGGTAATGGCTCTACTGTGCTTACCAGGTACAAAGCAATATGTAGGTGCTAAGCATTAACACAAGAATAGAGATGACAAATATTTACTGCCCGTGACTTCTATTCAGCCCCTCAAGACCTCTCTACGGAAGAGCTTTTTGAAGTCAGTGGGAAATAGCTACATCAGACCCACCACCCCTGGCACACAACCCCCCTTTGTGTACCTCTGCCTCGTCCGCGGCCCCGTCTCCCTCTCTCCGTGCCTCTTCCAGAGGAGCCTCCACTCTTACCACCATCCAGTCCATTCTCCTGGCCCCGAACTGAAAGACACAGAGATGACACTAGGACAACTTCCATCATCCTTTTGGACTCGGGGAAGGAGACCCTACAGCACGTGGTGGGGGTGGCGTGGGAAACGGACACAGAGCTATAGATGCTATGGCACCATGTTTTGCTCCCGTTAGTGCCGTTTGGCAGCTATGGCGTGAATCCATCACCTAGGGACTCAGATGCCAAAGGGTCAGGGAATTGGCTGCCGGCACCAGATGGGACCCTGCACACATACAAGAGGATGATTTTTGTAGTCATTTTTCTAGACTTATGAGCTTTAACACGAACGTCAGCACAACGCTTTAAGTGCCTGCCATGTACCATGATAGTTATAGTTGCTATTAAAGGGCAGGCTCATACACTCTCTTCCACGGCTGGTGCCTCGGCCTCGCCTCGGTGGCCCGCCACGTCGCCGGCTGTAATCCCGATCCCTGTCCCGGTTCTCTTTGCCTTCTTCACTGGGTTCTGTCTGCCCGCTGTCCTTCTGCCCAGAGACTCCTTTCTTCTTCCCAACCATTTCCCAGGAATGCTGAAGTTTAGCAGAGGGGGAAAAGTTCATCATTTGATCAACACTGGATGCAGGCTACATGCATAATTTAACATCCTGGGGAGAATATAATGAGGGAAGACAGAAACCTGTGCCAATAAACCGAGATAGGCACTTATCCAAAGCTTCACATCACAGCCCCTGCCGACTTCCTCTCCACTGTCTGAGCTGACAGGCCCCTGGCAGCTTTCGCTCAGACACTCACCCGCCCAGGAATGCTGGTTCCTCGGTTTGCATTCTTTCATTTTAAGTGATGTTCAACTGAGCCCTCAGAACAGACCCAGCATGGACAAGACAGGCCTCTCCCCTGCTGACAGTTGTACAGGGCTGGGGGGGTGCTGTTCTGTTTTAGCCTATCGCAGAGGCCAATCAGTGATTTGAACTGTGCTTGCTCTTATAACCCAAACAGCTCTGCCCCAGAAACTGAAGAAAGAACCATCATCTCTTTTAAGTCACTCCCCGCGTTGGCCAATTTGACTTTTCTCTGCTGCCTGAGACCCCTCAGGCTACAGCCCCCAAGACAGGGTTCTCACTTGCCCTCAATAGCCACAGAAACTTTTTTAAAGTTCCAGTGATCACTCAGCTCATTACCTAGGGATCTGCGCTGGTCACTCATCCCAGAGAAGACCCAATTAAAGGATTGCTAGAAAAACATTACGTTATCTCAGTCATTTGAAAAGTAACATTTTTGCTGTAAGGGGAGGAAGGGACTGCCCGTGTTTTTTGGCAAGACAACCCAAAAAGGCGTCACTTGCTTGGGTCCCAGTATCTGTCCACATAATATGTTAACTCTGGAAATTACAAAAAAAATCCCAGGGTACCTGCTGTTCCCACCACACAGGCATCTCTACACACCTGTCTGGTTCCAGGGAGGAGAGTATTGTGAGAGGCACCAAAAACCCCACAAACAGGAATGCTCAAGTCATTCTGAGTTTAATTAAACAACACATCACCACCTCATCCCAATCAACCAAGGCAGTTTTATTTCATCCCAGTATGAAATGGTTTCACATTCATATTGAACCAATGCTGTACGCTGTTAGCACAATTAACACTGAGTCACAAGTCACCGACAAACACCTGAAAACAGGACTTGCTGACTAATGAACAGCTGGCCTTGGATGGCAACACACAGAGTGGCAAAAAAGCTTTTAGGCACACACTGGCCTCAAACCAGAGGAGTCTCTCTTCACAGGCAACTGACTCAGAAGGAAGTCAGGATAATATTTACTTTGTACAGCACAACTATATAAAAAAAAAATCAAACTCAGAACTAATATCCTGTCTGCTCTTCTAGCCCCTGAAGTGTGACACGTTCCAATACTGCTCCGTTAAGCAAGTGAGCTCACTAGTGTTAGGGCATCTTTGAGACACTCGTTATCAATGGCGCATCATCCTAACAAACATCTTTTCACTGAGTTGTTCAGCAGAAGTTGAACTCAGATCAGGAGAGACTCAGAAAGTCTTCACCAATTTCAGTGCAGATGAAAACTTTGCTCAGATCGCTGCAGGTGGCAACCTGCAAGCCCCTTATGGCACTGCAGACTAAAGAAGTGGCTGGCGCGGAGAGGGTTTTACCCTGCCAACGCTGGTCCTGCCTTTGCGAAGCTTCTGCAGTGACTGTGTCTGGCATCTCATACTGCTGAGTGCCTCAGCTGCCCATGTAAAGGAAATAGGGCATACCTTCAGATTTGATATAACCCACAACATTATTTTCATGAGCAACTCGTTCATTTAAGAAATTAAATTGCTAAGATCTTAATGGGATGTCCGTTTTATTGGAAGAAGCCCTGGAAGTGATTCTGAGTGAAGCACAGAATCACAGCTAAGATTTGTCTAGGTTAGATGTACTCCTGTTATTTTTAAAATGAGTTTACAGCTAACCGACAGGCAGTTTTTGCATGCTTCTGGGCAGAAAGGGCTGGTCCTTAAACCCACATGGCTCTGTGAAGGCATGGAAGCATCCACCACGCAGACAGTACAGAACTCAGTATATGCCAAAGCATGTGGGAGTCTACTGATCGGAAGGAGAGATGTTATGCAGAATACAGATGGCAGGGACATACAGTTCAGTAATCAGAACATCCTTTTTTGACTTTTAACTAAAAGAAACCCAGCCAATGCACCACACACTAAAGTGAGAGTCTCAAACCCAGCAGAGCTAGGAAATCTGGTTAAGATCAGCCTTCCAATACCAACAGTACCTCACTGTACCCAGATAGGCAAGATCTGACCTTCAGCTGCAGTCTGGAAGGGCCTGACAGCTTTGACATTATTCACTGATTGATTCTGTTACAACTGATAAAACTATGTTTGGGCTCCTTTACCATCGAGGTGATGGACACTCCCTGGCGCTAGGTGGGAGGCTATTTGGGCAGATGCCTATTGAGGGTCATTCTGAGGGTTAACGAAGTATGAGAGAATGTGGCGCTCACATGAACCATGGAGCTCAAGTCTAACTAGCAGACACACTGCACCTAGCAGCGCTGGACCCTAGCATGCCACAGTAGGGACAGCCCATGCAAGGCCGAAAGTGTCAGCTGAGAGACACGGGATTGCACCAAGATCAGGGTAAAAACCCAGGGCCAAAGATGTTAAAGTTCAGGAGACAGAAAGCAACAGAGGTCTACTAGGTTACTCACTTGCTTCCTTTGAGGCTGTCAGATGACTGTACCCTTGATCTGTTCCCCAATGCACAAACAGGAAAGGCCGTTAAACAAGCCAGGGCATGGCCCCCCATTACAGATACCCTGCACTCTTAACTGTGGGGCCTCCTGACTGGCACTGTACAGACAGCCCTTTACAAGCTACCCCATCCCGTGTGCTCTTCGGGCGCACTGAGCTGTATTACCTGGAGATCACTAGCTCCAACCAGGCTTCACACAACCACCTTTTTGCTAATCAAAGCCAAAGGAGCCTGTCCTACCGTGTCCGGATTCCCCTCCAGCAGCACGTTGATGGCTCTGTTGACATCCCCGTTACAGTCGTGCAGAGCAATCACACACTCATCTTGGTTCTTGCCCGTGATATCAATCAGCTGTGGGGAGGAAGAGGACACAATCAGCTCATTCCAAACCCAGAGAGGACTGACACTTCCTTACAACTAAGAAATGCCTTGGGTTCGAGAGGAGAGAAAACCTGTAATTGCAGAAGAGAAGAGCTACCAAGAAGTGTCCAGGCGTGGATGTCTCCTTGCTGTCCCTTAGTTTAACTGTGTGTCCCAGAACATACACTGGGGGGCCAGAGAAGCAGGAATGAGCGTGCCCCCATATCTCAGAAGTCCTAAAGTCACCTCTCACCAGTCAACATGGAGGCAGAGCCTTGCAAAGCCCAAAGTGACTCCAGGTGTTGGGCAAAGGCCCTCACAACAAAAGGGCAATAATGCTGCAGAGAGAATGGAAGGGCTGATGGCTCAACCTCAGGAGCTCACATGTGGGACACAAAAGCTTTAGTATCTGCCTCCTCTGACCGAGGCCCCTTATTATCCCAAGGGCAGCTCTCCCTGGGTCTGCCCCACTGCAGAGAAAGCTCTTAACAGAAGGAACAAGATGACAGTGAAGGGCAGACTTCCTGGCCTGGTAAAAGTATCTGAGTTAGCTGCCCTTTTGACCTGCTTCCCCCCAGCCCTAGCCTGTTCTGGCTTATTTCAGAATTGCCATTGTTGTTCTCAGCCTCAGGTTCAACACAGCTGGCACTTCAGCTCCTGAAAACAGAGCTGCCAACTTCCACTCTAGCTAGAGACATTGCTCAACCCTGAGTTCTCCCCACTCACTTGTTTCACCTTCTCCTCAAAGTCAGCATCGTTGTGGTCCGAAATCATCTGTGCAAGTCGAATCTGTTCTGCAGTGGCCTGGAGAGATTGTGGATGATAACGGAGGAGGGTTAGAGCCGTGCATTTCAAACTAACTCTCTTCTAAGCACTTACAGCTTCCTTGAGAACACTAGTAGGGAGTGGGGGGAAGAGGGGCACACAGGTGGGAGGTCTCAAAGTGGAGATAAAGATGAAAGAGAAGCAGGTGGCGAGGTCTGGAGGAGAACGAAATGCCATTGAACCTGTGTGAGCCAACGATCTCACAATAAACTAGCTTCCCAGGACAGATCCCTCAGTATAGGCAGAAACAAGAACCTCAAAGCAAACTCTGCAAGTGGCACATCAGCCAGCCGGGTTTACCTACAGCGAGAGGGAACAGTCAGGAAAATGCAGAGAGGTTCCAGCTCAGGCTCTCGCTTGGACACACTGAAGCAGTGACCGCATCGTCAGAGAGCCCCTGGTTAGCCTGTCCACCTGCCTTTAACAGCAGCGCACTTCAGCATAGAGGAAGCTGTTCTAGGAGGTATGTTAGGCTAATGGTTCTCAGCCGGCGTCCGCATCCCTCTGGGGGTCTGTGAGCTGGTTTTAGGGGGCCATAGGGACCTGTGGCTAAGGCAAAGGGCTGAAACCAGGAGCAGAACTGCAGGGAGCCCTGAGTCATGGCACCCCAGTGGGGCTGAAGCCCCGAGCGCCAGCACTCCCTCCGGGTCTAAAGCCCTGAGCCCCAGTGCCCACACGAGGCAGAAGCCGTGAGGCCCCCCCGCCGAGCCAAACCCCCACCCATAGCTCCGAGCCCCTCCACCCCACGGCTGAAGCCCCAGCCCTGTCCCATGGCTGAAGTCCAGAGCATGGAGCCCCCTCCCCCCACGGCTGAAGCCCCAAGTCTCACAGGGCTAAAGCCTCAACTGCCCCCCCCACACACACACACACACCTGGTGGCTGAAACCAGGAGCCCTGAGTGCCCCCCCATCCCTGCTGCGGCCTGGAGTTTTTATAGTATGGGGGGGACGGGGGGACGGACTCTGAAAGAAAAAGGTTGAGAACCCCTGTGTTAGGCCAAGCCCAGTTATTAGTCAACTGCTTGGAGCAGCTGAAGGTGCCAGGTCTCCACCTCCAAGCCAACTGGTTTCCATGGACACTCCCTTACCTGTGGCCGCTGCTTGTGCTGTGTCTGGCTCTGTGTCTGTGTCTGCTCCCAGCTCCCCCGGGCTCGGCTAGTGCCCACCGATGTCATCATTTACAGTATATACAAATAACAGTATTTACAAGGTAGAACTCTGCGGGGGGGGGGGGGGGAAGAGAACAGACCGTTAGAAACTGAAAACAAAAGGCAGCACCGAGACTCTGGGTACTGAGTGGGTGGGACACCGAAGTCAAGTTTATACCCCCAAAACCACTATACACCAACTCCATTTCCAGAGATGTAAAACTAAAAGGCCACCCACCTTTTCCGATTTACTGAAGCCCTAACATGTAATATGCAATATCTGAAAGGAACAACATTGCACCCGCGCTGAGATACCCTGGGCTGTTCCCGCAGAGAGGATTGCCTCCCATCCCCTCCTGCCCCCCAAATCTAAGTGACTAAGTCTTAGGAGCAGAAATACTTTTCTCCCTGGTAAGAGGCAGCCTTTAGCATTCCACTGCTCAAATGCAGGAGGCTGAGGAATATAAATTAGCATTCCTCAACACCGATCCTTCCATCTACATGGCTTAGAGGCACCTCAATGCTACCCTGACAGACACTTTATAAGTGCACAAAACAAACAGCTCAACGCCCCAAGACCATCAACTGAATCTCTGTTCATCCTCTGCTCTCACAAGTTCACCTCTCATTCCAGAGAAAGGTGGGGAAGCGACTCCCCAAGTCAAGATGTTTCCAACATTAAACAGGTTTGTGGGCTTGGTTTGTTTGTTTGAAATAGACGGAGCTCGCATCTTCAAACACAAACCCAGCTTATTTGGGCTGTGACCTTGTTCTAGGAATATTAATTTTTCATCTATAATCCAACACACGCCGGAAAGAAAAGTGCTATAAATATCATCTGAAGGATTCCAAAACCCTTCAAAAATTCTACACAGGATTCAATCACTTCGCCCATGACTGATGTAGGGCACAGCAGCTAGGGAGACGCTCTCAGCAATGCTATACAAGAATTTCAGGACTTCCTGTCGAGACACAGTTCAGCACAGGGAATAGATCACAGCCAAATTAAATTGTAAACCCCTACACCCCCAATGCAAGGAAAGTCCAGCAGTGACAGTAACACCTTGTGCAATCTCACCATACCGAAACGGCTCCAACGAATAAGGAATGCCAGGTACAATCAAAAGCACCAAGCAGGATTTCAGTTATTTACCAGCCTCTGAAACAAGTAACTTGGAACTTAATACTTTACCACTGGGGTAATAAGGCTATCAACTCTGCCTCTGGAGCAACAGGCCCTTCGCTAGCAGCATGTGGGACTTCCCTAATCTAAGAAGGAACAAATAATACATGCAGGCAGATATTTGGCTAGGAAACCTCAACAAGAGAAACAAGTGATCAGTATCTTATCTGAAACTTTATTCACCAAGATCAATTGTGTCCCCTCAAGGGGGAACCAATGTACTGTAGGAGGGTGGGAGTGACTGAAAAGCCTCTCAGCATGAGGCAGTGCTAAGGGATGGGAAATCTAAATCTTCAAAGACAGTGAGTAGACACAGTGCAACTAGATCTTTCCTTTGGAGCACAAAGCAGAGGCCCCTAAAGTTAGTTTTGCACTGTGTTTGTAAACCTGCAATACTATTTTGCTGCTCCAGTGAGAGACGGCCTGTACCAGCTTCTGTTGTTCACTTGAATGCACGCTTCTAATGCAATCTTTCCTGCAACTTCCCACAAAAGGTCAAGTCGTCCACCTCCTTGGGATATCCACATCTTGCAGCTATTTAAACATACAAAGACTCCTAAATAATACTGATTTTTCAGAACTTTTTGAAACTTCCAGATCTTGCTCAGTTCCTTCAGCAATAAAATCTGTTACCTGTTGGGCAAGTCTGCAAAAATCTTATTGCCAAATAACGTTTGACACACAAATCACCTCAGCACTCCTGAGTTCTAGCTCAGACTGATACTCTGACAAATCACAAGCTCTGCCTCGCTTTTCCGGTCTGTAACATGGGGGTAACAATCACCTGCCTTTGTTGTTGTTATTTGCATTACCTCAGCACTTAGGAGTCCTAGTCATGGACACTGTGCACTATACAAAAACAGAACAAGAAGATAATCTCTGCCCCAAGCAGCTTAAAATCCAAGTATAAAACAAGAGATGGATACACACAGAGGGGGAACACCAGGAAACAATGAGACAATATTAGTTAGTATTGGAGGCTGTTGTCTCAGTGCACCAGGAGCCTAACTGTTGCCAAGTGTTTTGTAGGCACCACTGCAAAGGGGAGTATAAGGGGGAGGGTTGAAGATGGATAATGAGGTAGCTTGGGGGAGGTTTTGGGGGACCTACCTTACAAGCGTAGCTGTGAGGACTCGTGTTTGTGATGTGCTGCAGAAATGCTGAGGATTACAGACATTTCTTGTTGTATTAAATGCACTACATGCACAAGATCCGGCTGTGAGAGTGTGTGCAGGGCACAATTAACTTTCAGACTTTGTGAATAACATTTAGACTCACCAAGTTCCACCTTCCCTTCCAATCCCTGAAACACCTTCAGACAATACAGACAGATGGTTCCCCCTGAATTTATACTGCTGTCACTAACATAGAAGCCTGATCATTTGCCAGTATGGCTCTAACAGTATCACCGCCTAATACAAAGCATACTAACCTATGCTACGGGGGGCTCATCCCTCAATAAGAACATTTGGGGGTAGAGTCAATGAAGAAAAAACTTTTTTCCTCCTCCTTAAAGCACTGCAGAAACTTTAATAAAACCCAGAAAACAAAAAACGCCCCCCCCCTTTTTTTCACCAACCCCCCCCCCCCCCCCCCCGCCATACCCGATTCTTCCCCTAGCATTACTCTTATTCCCCACTGGTACATCTATTACAGTACTAAGTACTTTACAGACAAACAAGTTATCATATTAAACTAATTTGGCATCAGAATTGCAGGCCCAGAGGGAAGTAATACTGCATGTTTCATACTGCAGTAACTTAATCTGCCATTTCAGTAGGATATGGTTCTATTACTTTCTTGTCCTAAACCCTTATGCAGTTACTAGGCACTGTTTTAACAGCTGCCATGTTCCAATCCTGGCACAACAGCATTTCAATGGTGAATTAAATAACCACTATGTATAAAGCTCACCAGGCAACTACTATTCTGATCCCAACCCCACAATGAGCTCTGTGCAGTGCCCCACAGACTTCAGTGAGGCTCTGTGTAGGCCCAGGGTTCCACCTACCAAGAATTCACTTCAGGATCATACTCTAGTTTGTGCAGCACTTCGGAATCCTTAGGGATTAAGCACTATTAAAAATGCAAAATATTAGTTCAGTAGTCTGACATCTGAAACGCTACCACACAGAAACAGTGACAGTCTGATCTAACTGAAGTTTCTAACTGGTATTTTGGTCACTCATTTCACCTGAATATTTCTTTTTAAATTGTAAGGCATCTTGTACTTCGAGGCAGATGCTATATAAATAAAATAGTGATTCCATTTTCCTTCCATTGTGTCCCTGGTATTCTAGAATGAAATGAACTAGAGAAATGAAAAACATTATCAAATCAGTTTGACTTCTGAATTATATGTCAAAAAGGGAAACACTATATTTATATAGCATCAGACAAAGCCACAGGGCTCCTCAACTATGTTATGACATGACCACCACACCTCAAGGAGCTTGCAATTTAATTTACTATCATTTTAATTTAATGATTTTAATAATTTACTCTGCAGTTACTCTTCACTTTCTGTACTTAATTGCCACTGCTTTTCATTTCACACGTAGAAGAGATTCCTGTCTATGCAGGCTAGTAGGTATTTTGGGGTCTTTAGGAAAAAGGGAGACAGAGAAATGTAAGATTTATAATAATCTATGCGTTCCATCAAAAATCCTGGCTCAGTTGCATTTTGTAGAGCAGTGATCTCTCAGTCAAATGCACAACTGAGAGAAGTGTTCAGGGCACAAAACAGATTCAGGTGACTGGGTTCTATTCCCAGCTCTGCCAGACTTCCTGGGTGACTTTAGGCAAGTCACAGCACGACTCAGCCTCAGTTTCCCTATCTGTTAGAAGGGAACGATGATATTTTCACACCCCCTCCATGAAGCTTAATTAACATTTACAAAAAGCTCTGAGGTCTCAGATGAAAGGACTACAGAAGGGCAAAGTATTTAAAATGATTATTCTGCACTGCTGGGGAGCATGTGCACCGGAAAGAGCCCGGCACAGAGGGATATTCTGTAAGGCTTAGGCCACATTTCGCAAAGAAGTGAGTACATTTCGGTTATGGATGAAATAATTCATGGGTACAGAGAATACAGATTTTTGCAAAGTGCTTTGAGATAAAGCACTATTGAAATCTTAATGTAGTATTAGCAGCCATTATTTTACTGGGAAGCTCTGAATAGACAGTTTCAAAGGCTACATAAATATGCTGTAACATGCGATTCTGAACTGGTGTGGATACCAATGAAATGGAATGATCCTTCAGGCGCTATAGCCAGCTATAGGTACTAAATATTATTCTTCCAAGTTGCTGCAGGTTCCTGTGAACATAGTGGTAATTAGAGCTCTGCCTAAACTAAGATTATGCTGGATTGTCGCGGGCACGTTATGTAATAAATGCATGAGATGCACGGCACTACAGACGTGTATAAGACTGGATCATTTCCTTTAATTCACCTTCTTCCAGCCCAGAGATGTGTCAGCGCTGGGTCCTATGATGCTGCGTATAGTTATGGTTTGCATATACAGTCAGTAAAGCCCTTTAGAGCCCACCTGAGCAAAGGGTGCCACACACAAGCCTCTGCACAATTGCTACAAGCGGTCAGAAGTGCCTTTCTAAAACCATCTGGTAGAGGGACGGCTACTGAAATAACGCCGCCACCATTGTTACAGCTACCAGCAGGACCCCCGGGCAGCCCCGGGGCACGGACAGGAGGAGAACTCTGGAAGGGAGTCGGATGGAGGTGCCCAGTGGCCAGCACAGGCGTCAGCCTGCTCGGGAGAGAGAAGGGCAGCTCCAACAGCAGACAATGGGGATGAGCCGCCCACAGGGCCAGAAAGGTTTCACGCCCTTAGGGCCAACGGCCGCGAAGCGGGCGGATCTCTCAGGCGCTGCGGGACTCGAGGCCAGCGGGGCTGGCTGGGAGAGGCTGCCCCCAGCGGGGCTGCACGTCCAGGGGGGGGAGGCGCTCGGGCAAGCCCAAGGGGCAAGGAGCGCGGTCAGGGGAGCGCACGGCCCGGGGCCAGGGAGGCTCCATCCGCGCCGGGGCCCGGGGAGGGGAGCAGCTGCCCGGCCATTGTGCGGGGCGGGGGCCGCAGGCAGGGAGCTCCATCCAGCGGGGAGGTCGAGGCAGGCAGCGGCCGAGCTCCGAGGGGGCGGGCGGGGGGGGGGGGGTTGGGAGCCCGGCCGCGGCGCCGCTTCCGCCCTCATGGCCGCTGCCGCCATTCCCCGCCCCCCCTCCCCACTACCCCCTGCCCGGGCCCGGCCGCGCGCGCTACGCGAGCCCCCGGCTTCGGCCGGGCCCACTAGGCCGCGAACCCGACCATAAACAAAACCCGCCGCACGGCGTCCGGATCCGGGCAGGGAGGGGGGCCGGGGCCGCCTGCCCCTGGCCGGGGGGCCCGCGCCGGCCGCGGCCGCCCTCCCCCGGCTGAGAGGGGGGCCCCCCACCGGGGCCGGGATTTAAAGGGGCCGCGCGCAATTACCGGGGCCGCCACCGCCTCCGCGTTGCCAACTTTACCTGAGTCTCCACCACACTGACAACTACCCAGCGGCGCCCGCCCCATCACGTGACCCCGGCGAGGGCGGGGCCAGGCCGGCCTCAGGCCGCCCCCGCCACGTGACCCCGGCGGGCTCCTCTTTCGCCGCTCCCGCCTGTCACGTGGCTCGGCCTCGCGCCTCTCCTTGGCCCTCCCCGTGTCACGTGGTTTCTGGCGGTTGGCCGGCGCGCCCCGCCCCGCCCGCCTCTACGTCCCGCCCGCGTCACGTGGCGGGGGCGCACTGTGGCCTCAGCGGCCGCCATGTTGTTGTGGGGCCCCGGGCCGGGCCGGGGATGGCGACGTCCGGCAGCAACTGGCTCTCCGGGGTCAACGTGGTGCTGGTGATGGCCTACGGGAGCCTGGTGAGGACCCGGCCCGGGCCCGGCCTCGGCCTGAGGGGGCGCCGCGCGCGCGCGCCTCCCAACCGCCCGGCTCGGCGGGGAGAGGGGGCGGGGAGAGCTCCTGCCTTGGGCCCCCACCTCGAGCGTGGCGGAGCGGGGGGCCCCGGCGGGGGTGGGGCGCTGGCCACCCAGCCCGGGGGGGTCCCGATCGGCTCCCCTTGGGGCGCGGGGCTCCCTGACAGTCGGGAGGGGATTGGGGGGGGCTCATAGTGGGGCGGTCCCGCCTCTGGGGGTCCCGATTGGATCCCCTTGGGGCGCGGGGCTCCCTGCCAGTCGGGGGGGGATTGGGGGGGGCATAGTGGGGGGTCCCGATCGGCTCCCCTTGGCGCGAGGGGCTCCCTGCAAGCCGGGGGGGGGGGGTGGGGGGGCCTGTGGGGGGGGGGGGGTTGCGAGATGTCTCTAACATCCCCTCCCCCCGCACAGGGGAGGCTGCGGGGTGGGAGGGATGCAGCCCCTTTACAATGGTCATTGTGGGACGGACACACACACACACACACACACGCACCCCTTCTCCTATGGGAGCTGCCCAAACCAGCTCCTGGTAACATGGTATTGGACGCTCCAGGCTTGACTCGTTGGGGAGACGGGGCCCCAGTGCAGATAAAAGTATTTTGGCTCTGCTGGGTCCTAACGGCTTTTCTTTTCGCTGCGTGTACCTAGGTGTTTGTGCTGCTGTTCATCTTTGTGAAAAGACAGATCATGCGCTTCGCCATGAAGTCCCGCCGGGGGCCCCATGTGCCGGTTGGACAACACGCCCCCAAGGTCTGTTTGTGGGGTTTGTCTCCGAGTGGCTGCGGGGGGGAGGTTACGCTTTGGGCGATCAATTTGCTTATTTAGATAAGGCTTTGTGTTTGTTGATGCTTCCTATTTCCGTATGCTGCAGCTATATCCCAAGCTAAACAGGGCCAGATGGGGCCAGTTCTTAGCGTGGCGGAGACCTTCAGGGAGCAGCCAGGTGCTGCAAGAAATGGTCTTGGCCCTTCTTTTCCCCATGAGTCACTACTGAACCCACTGCTCCAGCCGGGAGCGAGGGAATGCCCTGCTCCTGGAGGATACCATCTTTCTGATGAGTCTTAAAATCAATGCTTTCATTAAAGGGTCTATGATGCACTTTGTAATAGTCAGGACATTAGCTGTGGTGTCCTGGCTAAAGGAAAGCTCTGATGGCCACGTCTACACTCTGAGCACTACAGCACACCTCTCTGGCACCGTAGCCATGCCGACGTAGGGCTGTAGCGCAGAATCTTCCTGCAGTGACCAAAGGGGTTTTTCTGTTGCGGTAGGAACTCCACCTCTCTGATGATAGCTGGGTCAATGGAAGTTTTTCAGTCGACCTAGCCATGCCTTGGGGCTAGTGCGGCTCTGAGGTGTGAATTTTTCACACCCCAGAGCGCCATTCCTATGTTGTTCTAACTTTTAAGTGGACACCAGGCCTGATAGCTGTGCTCTGACTCTCTGAATTCTCCTTGACTATGGGAATCTTCACTTCCTGGATTAAATGGTTGCAGAGTGTTACTTTCTATTGTTAAGTAATTGCTGCATCTCAGGGCTGGGTGCAGTGATCCTTGTCTACTGGGATTCATAGGTGCTTTGGGAAGGAGGGTGCTCTGTAAATGTAAGATGTTCTTGTTCTCTTCTGGACAGGACCTGAAAGAGGAAATTGATGTTCGTCTCTCAAGGGTACAGGACATTAAGTATGAACCCCAACTGCTAGCTGAAGATGATGCCAGGCTCCTGCAGCTAGAGACACCAGGAAGCCAATGTACTGTGTCTTCTAAATATATGCACCCTAACTTATTGATGAGTATATTGGGTGGAGGGGGAGGATGATCCAGGGCCTTCCTGTTCAGCCTTCCAGCCTCCACAGTGCAAACATCATCCCCACTACTGCTCTCAGAATCTGGGAATTCTGAAGTTACATTGCCAGCTTTTGAGCCTGTCAGGCTCTTCCCATAGTATTAACTGTCCTGCTGCAGTGTTGTTCTGGGCCCCGTCCTTCCCCGTGGGGCAGGTGGCGCTGTTGCTGAGCTGCTGATGGTTACCATGCAGCTTGTCACACCAGAACCTGGCAGGATCCCTAACCCTTACTCTGACTTGGTTAAAATCAAGCAGATTGCAGCCCTGTCCCTGTCTTTAATACACAGAAGCAGCCTGTGGGGACCAAGGCTCCCACCACACAGGCTGAAATGAAGCCATTCAGCTCAAAATGGGGACTAGCGTGTAGGGAGCTGTTCCCCTCTGCCATATCGCAGAGGAAGGCAGCCACAGCCTATGGTGTATAGCTGTCTGGGCCATCTCTGCTCTGACAGTCCAGGCTTTACCTTTCTCACCAAGCAGAGCAGAAACCCCCAGACAAAGGAAACTGATTGTCAGTTACCATTGGTGCTGCGTAATCGGATTAGTGTCATTCTGCGATTTGCACGGGGCTAGCCTCATTGCAGGGGGAAAGGCTTCAACAGGATAATCTCCTGTTCACACAGCCCCCACTTGTGCCAACTTGCTGGGCTGTTTGTGTTTTTTCTTTCTCCAGACCAGTTTGTGTGTTGTCTTTTCCAGGTTGCTATAACTACTTGTACAGAATGAAGGCACTGGATGCAATCAGAGCTTCTGGTAAGAGAGAGTCTTTAGGTGGGGAGCGTGGCCAGTCGGGGGACATGCCTCTGGAGCCTAGGCCAATAGCCTTGTGCTAGCACAAGGGTTCTCAGCCTGGGGGCTGCCACCATGTCCCTAGGTGGGAGGGGTTCCCAGCTAAGGAATTGGGGTCCTCACTGGATGGGGTAGAGATGTCTGCTAGAGGGAAAGGTTGAGAACTTCTGTGCTAAACATGAAAACGAGAATGTGACACAAATAAAGTGAAGCAGAAGCTAATTTGATCTGGTTAGTCCGTGTCCAAGGTGAGTAAAATACAGAACGTAACAGACAGCAGAAGCCATGGGAAGTTATTTACACCGAGTCTTTTCTTTCTAAATTATCTGCAGTGTCACAGGAAAAGACATTCCTCAAATACTGCCTGGCTTTCTGAAAGGATCCCCCACGGTTGGGTGCCTCACTGTCGGGGTGGGGGTGTCCAGTTTGAGATGCCTGGGCTTGATTTTCTGAGAAACTCCCCAGCTTCGTAAAGGCTTCTGCAGACTTAGGCTGTAAAGTGTCTTTCTTGTGCTCCCTTTTGATGCAGTGATTCGTTGAACCATCCTAGCTTCAGTCTCTCTGCCTGCAGGTCTCTGCTGTATGGTGCCTCCGTCAGAAAGGCAGAGGGGCAGAAGGAGGAATTGGTTGGATGGTTTGGGTCACTCATGAGGACGGGCTCTCTTCCAGGCCCCTGGAGTGTGTGTCACACTCCTACCCGCCCATCACTGGCATTGTTGTGTTGCTTTGTTTTTTCAGAGATCCCATTTTGTGTAGAAGGCCGACACCCCCAGTCCTTAATGGGAAAGAATTTCCATGCCTACCTGTTGGAGCTGAGAAATTCCAGCACTCCATTCAGGGGCGTCCGCAAAACCTTGATTGACACCCTCCTGGATGGGTATGACACTGCACGCTATGGGACAGGGGTGAGTGTCAGCCCAGATCTTCTCTTTGGTCTTTGCGAAGGGGGTGGATTCCCGCAGAGCCAGGTCTTTCGCCTCGCAGCATTGCCCACAATTCCCCTCTGTTCTGCCGGCGGCTGCGAACAAGACCAAGGACAATGCACACCAAGAGTCCAGGATCTCTAAGGCGCTCTTCTGTTTGTGTTCAGGTCTTTGGGAAGACAGAATATCTGAAGTACCAGGGGGCCCTGACTGAGCTCGCGAACATGTAAGTTTAACTGGCGATGGGGATGTTTAACATCTGGGCCTTGGTCTGCATGGCAGTCCGTTGAAGGGGGTTGTGGATGGTGAAATTCTGCAGCTGGCTGTGTCTGTACAGGAACTGAGAAGTGGGAGGCCAAAACCAAATTGACAAAGAAGTGTCCCCTTTAAGAAGGCCCCCAAACAACCCCAGCCAGCAGAGTTCCTAGTTCTTTCATGGTTGTCGAAGGCAGGCAGTCTGTCTCCCTGAGGCATCAGGTCAGGGAAGGAGCCACTTGACCCAGTTCTTAAGGCCCTTACTCAGAGCTGTGAGTCAGAGCAACCGAACTGACAGTCAGAAAAGCAAAGTCTGTCGGGCTCAGGTCAGGAGTGGCCTGGGGCCTGCAGCCTATAGCAGCCAGCGTGGCTTCTGGTCCCGACCCTTGTTCTGGTGTTTTCCTTGACCTTCTACAGGTTGAAGAGTACACCCTGCCACAATTCGCCTGCCCAGACCTGCCTTCCGAGGGCCTGCACCCCATTGATGTAACTGACTGGCACCTCTGATGAGGCTTCTTGCAGTCTCGTTCGCTCAGGAAGGGTTGCTCTGTGTTCCGGGTGGAATCCGTAACATCTCCTTTTTCTCCACAGTATCAAAGCACGAGGAGGCAGCAGCCAAAGGCAGCACCAGTCAGCAGCGAAGGACCTCACGCTCTCGCCTGATGTCTCCAACCCAGCCACCATCCAGGTCACCTACCTGCCTTCCAGCCAGAAGAGCAAACGTGCCAAACACTTCCTGGAGCTGAAGAGCTTCAAGGACAACTACAACACGCTGGAGAGCACCCTGTGAGCCACGGCAGGAGTTCTGCTCCTGGGACCTGCCTCTGAGAGCCCCTTGCTGGGTGGGGCAAGTCACAAGGGGCTTTTGGCAACAGTCCGTGTCCAGGCGGGAAGTCACTGGGCTCCTGGATCACTCTCTGCTGCATGGAGTTGGATTTAACAGCGACATCATGGCTGGGGTTACCTGGCCTCTGGGCAGGAGGCTCTATCCAAAGCTGTGTACTGGCTGCAGAACAGGGAGCTGGCCAGCAGCCGGCATGGGCCTTGTGCTTTGGGCTCTGAAGAGATTCCAGACGCAATCCCTGTTTAGTGGCTAGTGTCTCTCTGGAGCCCCTAGCGCTGTGAATAGAACATTTGAGTAGCTTTAGCGTATTTATACAAGACGCTGCTCCGGGTCAGTGCTCCTGCACCCCTCTGCACCGACTGCAGCGGCTCCATTCACTCCACTGACCCTCCATCACTCCCAGCGATGGCTCAGGGGCTGAGGCCAGAGGTGGTTTCCAGCTCCCTCACTGGAGCCACTGGCTGGGCTTTCCAAAGGGTAAATGCCTCGGGGGGGAGGGGTCTGTGAGTCCATCCTCCCACTCCTTGTCAGCCTGTTGTGCTTGAATTGCCCTTTAGATCTGGGGGGGTTGTTATTGATCTCTTGAGCCTGTTTAAACCCCACCCGGACAGTAAATGGCTCAGTGTCCTGTTCTGGGGAGGTGAGGGTGCTGCTGCTCACTGGCTCTTCCACATGCCCCAGCTGGGCAGCCGGGTGAAAACCTTCCCTGTTCCCTCCCGCTCTCACCAGCGCCTCGTGCCATTCACCATGGACTCCTGCAGGCCTCATGGGGAAGGGGCAGCAGCAGAGCAGCCTCTGGCGAAAGCTCCCAGGCCGGAGGCTGACGGCAGTCCCCCTGCAAGCTGCGTGCGCTGCGTACCAGTCATCCGCTCTGGGCCGGAGGAGGTGCCCCTGGCAGCCAGGCCTGCGCTCTCTCTTTTTAAATGGCTGTTTAATAAAAGGAACGTTCCCCTGCGGCCCACGTGCACCGTTGCTCTTTGGCGGCAGGGAACCCTCGCTCTGACTCCTCACCTGCTCTAGAGCTGCACATGCTGCTCTCGGGACAGCCTGAGCCTCAGCTGCTGTGGGGTGGCTCATAAAGGTGGGTGTGTGTCTGATGCCAGGGCGAGGGCAGCTGGGGCAGCTGCCTGTGCTCTCCAGGGAGTGGGTGTGGGGGTTTCTGAGAAAGGTCCCTTACTGTCACTGCACCGAGCAGCCTCCTGTATCACCTGGCCAAGAACAGCTGGGAGCCCCCAAGGCTCTGCTGCCTGCCTGCTTCCTCTCCAGCTGCTCCTCCCCTTGCCAGGAACATGGGCTCTTCCCTGGGTAAGGGCCCTGCTCAGCGCCCCCTCCCCTCAGGAGCTGGCTGCAGTTGGGTTATACATGGCTACAGGCGCCTGGATTCTCGCTGCATCACATGCTCCTTTAGCTGCTCCTTTCCCTGTCTCCACCTCCCTGGGAGAAAGGGGGGGGTCCTTGTTTTACACATAGGGAGCAGAGGAGGTGACCCACCACAGTGCCTACAGGGCCGCAGAGCTGGGATGAAAAGGCAGAGGCTTGGCTTGCTCTCCCCTCTCTGCACCAATGGGGGTGGGGTCATTCCTGCAGGAGGCTGGGGGCTGCCTCCCAGGAAGAGCAGTTAGTTCAGTGTTGTAGATGGGTTTGGGGGTACGTGTCTGAAGTCCCCGGGCCCTGCTCTGCGGGGACGTGAGGCTGCAGCATTAACTGCCAGGAGAAGCACTTGGAGATCCTGGCATGTAAAGCAGCAGTGCTGCATGGCACATCTGCCCCGGAGGAGGGAGCGATATCCACCAGGGGCTGGATTGACTGGGGTGGGGGGGAGGGGTAATCATTGTATGCCCTTGGCCCACCCAGTGCCCCTGGGATTCCCACAGCATGGTGCCTCTGCATTGCACTATGGGCTTATGGGGCTGTACCCACTGCATCGGAGTGTCCCTTCAGCGAGAGCCGAGTGCCTTTGAAACCCCACCCGTTAGCCAAAGCCCAATGCCCCCGGCTGTATTTCCCGCCCTTCGACCTGCCTGCTGCCATGGTGGGGATGGGCAGCACTGCTGCCGCCCGTGGGAGAGGAGGGTGTTGGGTACGACGGGCCTTTGAACTAGAAATGGGGATTTCAATATCTTTCCAGGGCGGATGCTGAGTTTGTACGGCAGGGGGAGAGCACGGGGGTTAGGGGCGGCCCGTGTTGATCTAGCTCCTGGGCGTGCCCGTATCTCACACCTCATGCAAACGGACGGGCCTGGAAGAAATGCACGGTCGCAGGGCGTGTGCAAGCACGTGTGACTCAGCTCACCACACTGGCCAAATGCAGGCAGACAATGGCCCTGACTCCAGCCATCCTCACGCTTGGAGACCGCGGGCCCTGCACAGGCTGGCTCGAGATGGAGCGTGGCATGCTGGGACCCAAAGGCTCTAGAGTTGGCACTTCCATTGGCGAGGAAGGTGGCAGCCACGCACTGTTGGTTCAGGCCAGTCGGGTGCAGTCCCTGGGTTCTTTGCCAGCTGCCAACAGCCCTTCAGTCGGGCCAAGTGTGGGTGGTTCAGGTCGGTTTGCTGCCCCTGTTCGAGACGGGGCTCACGGTTATCAAGTATCAGCTACTGCCTGGGCAGCGAGAGCCTGGGCTTTACAGACACCCCGCGCCTTGGCCGACGGGCAGGGAGCGGCTTCGTACGGTAGGTGTGTGCATCGCACGGCGCCTGGGGCCCTGCACCCCTGCTCCGCTAGCAACGTTTCCTTCGTGATTGCATGGGGGGGCTCGCTGGCAAAGGGGGCGTTTCCCTGCCGTGTTCACAGGATCCGGCTCGTGCGGGTGAAGCTCCCGGGCCAAGGGCTGCAGGATTTGTCCCTCGCCTTCTGCAGCAGGAGGGATGGTTCCAGGGCAGCGGGCGATGGGAAGCGACAGGAACAAACACGTGGGGCTCATTAAACTGTCCTCGCCCTTTAATTGAGCAGAGGTCTCCCGCAGCTCCCTGGACGGGGGATACCGGGTATAATTGAGCACCCAGGCCCCAGCCACGGGGCGACTGAGCTCGGCTCTGCCCACTCCCCCGGGCAACACGGATCCCCCAGGCAGAGCCTCTGGCTTGGTCTCACGGTTCTAAAGCGTCTGCTGCTGCCATGGTGACCAGGGAGCCAAACGGTAACGGGACGGCAGCTGCCCCCAGAGCCCAGCGCCCGCCCCGTGACAATGGCACCTGGCAGGGAAAAACTGGCCAAGAGCAGCAACGCCCCCTCGCTCCAGCAGCTCCTGAGGGAAGAGGAGGTAGGACGGGGGGGACGGGCAGGGCTGCAGCCAGGGTCGGGGGGGGCAGGAGGGTGTAGAGATGGGGGGCAGGGCATGGAGCCAGGGCCCTGGGAGGGGGAGGGCATAGATTCAGGGCCCTGGGCAGGGGGGGGGGGCAGGCAGGGTGTAGAGATGGTGTGGGGGAGACAGGGCCTGGGGGGGGCAGGGCATAGATCCAGGGCCCTGGGTGGGGAGCAGGGCATAGATCCAGGGCCCTGTGGAGGGGGGGCAGGCAGGGTGTAGAGACAGTGCGGGGGAGACAGGCAGGGAGTCAGGGCCCGGGAGGGGTGGGCAGGAGGGCAGCCCCTGAGAACATGGAATGGGGCCTGCGGGGTTGCCTGTGAAGGCCAAACTGGGCCTCGCCAAGCCCCTTTGATGGCAGCAGCCCGTGGGGCTGAGCGGCTCCCAGCTGCATAGGGGACGGGTCTCATCAATGCCATAGACGTGGGGAGAGGCTGGTGTCCCATCTCACTCCTTAGGGCTGGATTCTGCCCACGGCCACAGCCCCGGTCTCTTCTTCATGCTACACCGTATCCAATCAGCATCCCCTTGCCCCATCCTGGGGTGTCCCCAGGCCAAACCCTGTCCGCCCTGGGGCGTTAAGGGAGGAGACAGCGCCCCCAGCAGAGCTCCCCAGTCAGGCCCCGCTTTCCCTGCCCTACCCCCCGGGGCAACCGCCCTGCAGAGAGACGCCGAAGGCTCACTCGCCCCCTTGGCCGGTCATCTCCCGCTGCCTGGCCTGGAGCACTCTGTTCATGGGCCCGGCTCTGTTGTCTGGCCACTGAGGGCTCCCAGAAGCTGGAGGGGATTATAACACGCAGGTCCTGACTGCTTGTGACTCTTCAAACAGTGGCACTTGTAAGACTCGGGGCATCAAGCGCAGCCTCCCAGCGAAACGCAGCGTGAGTATTCACATTCTGCCCTAAACGACTGCGCAGTGCGGATGTGCTCCGCTAGCCAGCTGCCAGGTTGCGCTGCAGAGGTGGCTGCATGGTAGTGCTGGAAGTCCTCCCTGTCCTATTTCATATATCACTGTACAAAGCACTTTGGGACCCGTCAGGGTGCCGGGTGCTAGGAGCTGTCACCCCTCCGCCACCCGAAATGGGAGGCCCTTTGAACCAATCAATCACTTTCCCTTGCCGGGGCTTGGTGCTTTTGCCTCCTCCCAGCTGCTAGTTGCGGGTAGCAATACAGCCTGGGAGAGGCCGGGCCCAGGCCTGAATGTGCCGTTCTGATTGCAGCTGGTGAAGAAGGAGGCTGCCTACCAGAATCTGGTTAAAAGGTAAATGGGTTTGTGGAGGGTGGTTTCTAGCTCTTCGTTACTGTGATTAAAGCCACTTCTCTGTGGAATAATAACGCCCAGCACGTCCAGCAGCAGAGCGCCGGGGGGTTGCAGGGGGCTACTGACAAAGGGAACTGTGGGGGTAAGGTGACCATATTTTCCCAAAGGGGAAACGGGACACCACATGGGGCCAGCCCAAGGACAGCTGTCCCCCCAAAGTGGGGCCGGCCTGAGGCCCCCACTACCCCCCCCCCCCCCCCATGCACACAACCAGCCCCCCCGCCCACCCGCCAACCCATGCAGGGCTGGGCTGGCCCAAGCCGCTCTCCTGAGCTCTCTCTCCGGCTCAGGACGGGTGTTGCTGCTCGTGCCCCCCCACCCCCGCATGTTCCTCCACACACCCCTAGGGGTCACACCCCACTTTTTTGGCAAAACTGAGCATTTGTCCCGTTTGCTCTTGCCTCCAGCTCCCTTTCAACTCCACCTCTGAGTGCAGCTCAGGGCCGTCCCCTCTCCCCAGAGCAAAGCAATTGGCCCCTTCCCTCGGATCCCGGGTCGGGAGGAGAAGCCAGCGAGGACGGAGGCGGCTCCGCTGAGCCCAGCTGGGGCTGCTGGAAGTGATGATTGCTAAGGGCCCCTATCGATGGCCCCTGACATCCGCCCCCAGCTCCATTCAAATCAGAGGGGCTCCAGGCACGCAGTGGGGGCTGCTCATGTGGCTCTAGCCCGGGACCAGACAAAGCTCCCCTCACCTCTTGGCTTGGGGCCTGATCCTGCCCATGGATGTCAGCAAGGAAGTTCAGTGGCCGCAGGCTGGGGCCCTCCTGGTGAGCTCTGTGGGGCAGCCCCAGGATTCAGGGGGCCTGGGGCAAAGCAATTTCGGGGCCCCTTCCATAAAAAAAAGTTGCAATACTATAGAATATTATATTCTCATGGGGGCCACTGCAGGGCCTGGGACAAATTGCCCCACTTGCCCCCCCCCGCCCCCCGGTGGCTCTGGGCAGCCCAGCTGGGGCCAGGGAACCAGGGGCCTGGAGAACCGTCCCTGGTTGTTTGGACGTTTATCCCCCAAGCACAGAGCGACCATCGCAGGAGCTGCAGGCACTAGGGATTGTTTCCCTGGAGAGCCCCCTTTGCAGTCAGCACAGTCAGAGCTAAGCTGGCCCCAGTCGCCCGCTTCCTGGCCTGTCCTTCTCACCGGTGCAAAACCCCCCAACTTCCACCTGCTTCGCACAGCCCAGAGTAAACGCCCCTTTTCTCCTCAATCGCGTCATGTCCCTAACCCCAGATGTGAGGGGAGCCCCAAGCCCAGGCTGTGGGTGTGATTTAGAGCCCAGCAGTCGCCAGGCCAGGGAGGGGCGGGGGGGGCTGTTGTGTTGGGAGCTGCCTAGACACAGAGCAAGAGACAGTCCCTGCCCCACGGACCTCGTGCTCTAAACAGACAAGACGAGGCGGGAGGGGAAACTGAGGCATGCAGCGTGGCAGGGACGGAGCCGGCTCTCCCACCTCAGGGGACTAAGCAGCCGTTCAGTGCCCAGGAACCTGAACGCTAGGAAACAAAAGTGAAAGCGTCACGTGCGTTGTGAGCTTGAGAGCCCTGCGGGGGCGGGGGAGGCGGCAGGGAGGTTCCACTGACTCACTGCAGCCAGGTGCTGACTCAGGCAATGGTGTAAAACTCAGCCCGGGGGTGAGGGGTTTGGTTCTGTCCCCCTCAGCCTCATTCTGCGTTTCCATGTAACTCACTCCCCTCTGCGCCGGGGAGAGCTGCAAAGGCTGCCCTGTCTCAGTGCCCCCCTCCCCCGGCCTCTCGTCCCCACAGCTGGCAGTGGGGCCGTGTCCTCTGTCTCCAGAGGGAGAAGCAGGAGGAGAAGAGGCTGGTGAAGGGCTGCCAGAACCTGCGGGCCGGCGTTGCAGAGGAGCTTCGCTTCGCTAACAAGGCGCTGCTGATGGTACGGCTGGGGCGAGCAGAGGGGCGCTGACCCTGGAGGAGCAGGGCCCCCGGGCAGCGTGGCTGCAAAGGCTCGTGCTGGTAGCAGGGGTTCCAGGCTGGGCACCTTTCACACCCGCTTTGCGCAGTGAGAACGGGGCAGGGGACGCCAGGGGAGATCACCCACCCTGGGCATTGCCGCAGCCAGCTCCATCCGGGTCCCCTTTGCACCACAAGCCTCTGGCCCCAGCAGGGCAGGAGTCGGCTCCTCGTGGGTGAGGGGCAGCGGGATTGGGGCGAGGGGGCGGGGAGTGTTTCGTTTGGAGGGATACGGCTCGACCAAGTCACAGGGGGAAATGCCCCAGAGCCAGCGGCTCCCCCTGCCGCCTTTGCAGATCTGCCCATCCCACCGAGTCCCAGTCCCCGCAGTGGCGTCAGCAGAGGTGCAGAGCGAGGGGAGGGTCAGGCCCAGCCCGCGGCTCTCCCCACTGCAGGCTCAGCTGCTGCCCACATGGTGGGGGGCACTGAGCTAGACCCCTTCCTGGCGGGGGGGAGTGGGCTGGTTTCCACCCTGCCCTGGAGCAGGCAATGGGACCAGCCAGATGCCAGGGAAGGGCGGAGGGGTCCTGGCTTCTCACACAGCTCTTGGCCTCCCTGCCAGGTCCGGCGCGCGGCCCTGCGCTACCTTCTACACTGCGAGCACGTGCAGCACCAGCGCGAACTGAACCACGGGGGGAAGTCCTTCTATGTGGAGAGGCTGTGAGCGCCCAGCTCTGGGGAGCAGCGACCGGCCCACACCGGCCCCCTCGCTCCGCCAAACTGCGACCTGCAGCGGCCCAGGTTCCCAGGGGACCCCAGGCTTTGCACCTTACAGCACTTCCCCGTCCTGCCCCAGAGCCGCCTTCCCGACGGGACAGTCGTGGTTGTTGCTATTTCAGAGACAATGTCAAAACCTCCCGAGAATATTAAAGTGTGGAGCTAAGCGGAGCAGCCTGAGGCGGCGTTTAGATCCCAGCACTGGGGGGGGCAGCCCAGAGGCAGCCGGAGACACCATGTCGTGGGGCAGATTTGAAGAAACTCCATGGATTTAGCAGAGACCTTGGCCTCTCTGCTGGGGGGGGGGAGCTCCCCTGCCACCCTCCCCATTATGCCGTGTAAGCCCCACCAATGGGGTTGGAATAACGGGTCTAATGTGGGTGTGAGCATCTCCCTCTGGGGGCAGCTCCGGTCCGTGTGGGCACTGAGTCTGCGCAGGGCCTGCAGGCCGGCGGCCAGCCGGCTGCGGGGCACTCGGCACCTTGACGCTGGGCCACGCACTGAGCCAGGGAGGAAGCGGGTTGTGTCACTAGAATTCCCAAGAGACCTTAGGCCTCCCTTTGCCCTTCCCATCCCAGGCCCTGGCAGCAGCATTATCAGCACTGTATCGAGGGGAAACTGAGGCAGGGGGCACAGAAGGATCTTGCGCCAAGATTACGCCGCAAGTTAGTGGCACAGCCAGGTATAGAAAAGCCCAGGAGTCCTGGCTCCCAGTCCCCTTCCCCCACCACCAGCACCCTGCTAACCCACCGGACCCCACTCCCCTCCCAGAGCCGGGGACAGAACCCAGGAGTCCTGGAAAATGGAATCCAAGGACGCCCCTTGAAACTATCCAGCAACTTGCAGCTGAACACACACACACACACACACACACACACACACACACGTCTGCACGTGTCATCTGTGAAGCATCTCTGACACCTGGTGGCCAAGTGGGTTAATGCAACTAAAGGCAAGATGGAGCAGCCGGGGTGAGCCAAGCCCCCGTCGGGGTGCACTGAGACCCCGGCAGCGCCTGGCTGCTGGAGATGCACTAGCAGTGCGGGGCACCCAGATCCCTGCGTGCCAGAGCCGCAGCTGCTGGCCTCACTGCAGCGTAACGCCCTGTCCCCTGGAGCTTAGCACCGCGTGGGGTGGGGTTAGCTAGAGCTGTGGGGAACCCCCCCCAGCCCATCTGTGCCCCCAGGATTTCCCAGCTCCAGGGCGATGACGCCCCCCCGTGGGGTGCAAGGCCCCCGTTGCTGGCTGGCTGATGTCAGGATCCGGGTCGCCCCAGCTCAGGGAAGGGACGTTGGACTCAGTAGCGATGGAGACATGCTGTGGCTGAGGGGTGCAGAGGGAACTGAAGCGGCAGCATTCCAGCAAGGAGGGGGCTGGGCATGAGAGGAAGCATGTCTGAACACGGGACACATGCACACACGCGTGTGCACTCACACGCATGCACACGCCCCCTGGTGAGAGCATAGCGCCCAGGTGCCAACCCGCATGCTCTGCACAGCCAGCGCTGCACTGCCTGGCTCTGTGCCCACCCTGGCCTCACTGCGGCCCCTGGAGCTCGAATCCCCGACCTGGGGGCACTGGCCGAAGCAGGAGACACCTCCCGGCACTGTCAGTGCAGAGTGAGGGGGTCCCAGCAGGGGATCCCCAGGGTACGGACTTACCTCCCCATGCACCCCCAACAGACATACATGTTCCCTCGCTGCACCCACGAAACACTTCGCCCTGGCACCACTGACCCCACCCACCCACACACACACACACACACACACACACATCCCGACACATCACAGGCTCACAAACCTTGCACACGCCCTCCGCGGCCACGGTCCTGTTCCAGGAGCCGCTCTGAGCCAGGCCAGGGCACCCGCTCAGCTGCTCCGGCTCGAAAGGGCAGATAACAAAAGGTGCACGTCACAGGCCTTTGTATTTATAGCCTGGGATCACTCACCCTGCCTGCCCCGTCCCGCCAGCCCGGCTTCTCCCCCCAGCTCCAGGAGAGGGGTCGGGGGCTTTCAGGGGCAATCGTCCTGTCTAGGAAGGGTTTGGCAGAACCAACCTCCCTCCTCCTTTCCCCCCCGGACTGTGACTTGTCTCCCCCAGCCACAGACGATTCCTACAGTCCAAGGCCAGAGAGGACCACTGTGATCATCTCATCCGATGGCCTGGAGCACAGGCCGGACCTCTGCCGCCAGAGATTCCTGACGGGACTAGAACAGAGCTTTCAGGGAACCGGCCCTGCGGGGTTGCAGCATCCCCCCAGCCCTGGGTAAATTGTTCCAGGGGTTCATGAAAAATCTGCCCCTTATGTCCAGTCTGAGTTTGCCTAGCCCCAGCTTCCAGCCCTCGGGTTGTGTCAGGCCTTTGCCTGCTGGATTGGAGAGCCCAGGCACAAGCAGCCGTTCCCAGGCAGGTACGATCCCCTGGGCTCAAGTCACCCCTGAGCCTTCGCTTTGTTCAGCGAAACACATGGAGCTGCTGGAGTTTCCCGCCGGGCGGCAGGTTTTCTAACCCTCCTCGCTGAGCCCCCTCCAACGTAGCCACGTCCTCCTCGGACTGCGGGCACCAGACCTGGACGCAGGCGTCCAGCGCCGGTCGCTCCGGTGCCAAGTACAGAGATAAAAAACCTCTCTGCTCCCACGCGCCACGCCCCTTTCCGTACCCCGGGACCGTCACAGCCCGTTCAGCTGACGATTCCCCCCCCTTCCCCGGTCCCGGCTTCCCAGGACAGAGAAGCCAGGGGGGAGCAGGGCTGTTTGGCAGGGACGAACCCAGGCCAGGCCAGCTCATGCCCGAGTGCAAGATCAGCCTGTGGAGCCTGGATCCTCCCTGCCAGTGGGGGAACAAGGCCCAACCTCTCCCCTAGGGACACCCCCATCCCCTGGGGAAGGCGGTCACACATGGAGGGGGGCTTCCTTCCTGACCCTCTGCCTCCCCCCGCCATGCCCGCAAGTAGCCCACAGGCCCCTCCATGGCACCTGGGACGGGTCACAACTGCAGCCTGGCCCTGGGGTCCCGGCACAGCCTGCGTCAGGCACCCCTCGGGCCCTGGGGTTCAGGCTGGGAGCGGGCGGTTCAGGGAGGAGGGGGAGCAGCATGGCCCCACATGAAGGGACAGTGCACGGAGCAGAGCCGCCAGGCCACACATGACACCCCCTCCCCCGAGCCGCTGTCTCTCTGGCCACACGCTTGGGGGATGGAGCTGGGGGGGCCACAGCCAGACGCACAAGGGGCCTGGCTCTGCCCGGCCCCTCATGTTCTGTTCTGATTGAGCAGCACGGCCCCCCCTTCGCATGGGGGGGGAATGGGGGCAGGTGGCACAGGCCCAGTGCAGAGGGAAGTGGGGGGAACTGCTGGCTTCAGTGAAATGCTGATCTCGCTCGGGGGTCAGACCCCCAAACACACACTCCTGAGTGGTCTGAAAACATGGGCAGCCTCCCCCCGCCCCCCAGCTCTCCCCTGGAGCCCATGGGCCTGCAGCCCGGCTGGCCCCTGGACACCCCTCGGCCCACGGCCCATGGATCTGCACTTGGGTTTGTTGCCCCCCAACCCCGGAGTTTGTGCTGAGTCTCTCCCCTCGGCCTGACCTTGGTGGCTCCCCGCCCGAGGGGCCGTCAGCGCCCGGCCTGGCTCAGCGTATTGACAGGGCTGGAGCAAGCCCGCGGCCCCCTCCCAAGAGGGGCCTTTCATTAGCGCGTCTGTCGGCTCACATCAGATCAGCCATCAGGGACACGTGCCAGGGCCCGTGGCACCCTCCTCCCCATCCCGGAGACCCACCCCCTCACCCCACCCTGCCTGGGCATGCCCCATCCACCCCAGCTGCTCGGCTCAGATGTGGGGCGCTCTGGCCCTGCAGTGCCCAGCTTTGTCGCTGGAGACAGGGCCGGCTGAGCCCAGGGTGCAGAGCAAGCGGCGGTGAGCGGTTCATGCCCAGGATCCGTGCAGGGGGCCTGTGCCTTTCCCGTCCCTTCCTCGTCTCTCCCAGCTGGGGACGGGGATGCTCAAGGTCCCCCAAGCCCCGTTCTTCCGTTCACATCTTCCCCCCCTGTGGCTGAGACCAAGCCCAGAGCAGCTCCCTCCATCAGCCAGCAGGAGGCGGTCACAGCACCCCAGGGACCTCTCCCCCTCCCCACAGCCCTCCATGGCCCAGGGGGAGAGGGCCCCAAGGCAGGGCTGGGGAAGGAGCCCAGCAGACAGGACCTGCCCGTGGAGCACCGGGCTGGGTCTGGGGCCCCTGTGGCTGAGGGGATGCTGGGACCCTGAGTCGCTGTGGTTGGGGATGGGCAGAGCGGGGGGGCGGGCTGCTCTCTGCCTCCCCCCCCCGGGGCCATCTGTCGCCAGGACAAAGGGATTGATGTGTCAGTGGGGGAGGGGGCAGCGGGAACTAATGGTCTGCACCAGAGCTGGGCCATGAGGAGGGAGAGCCCAATATGCCGACAGAGTAACCCCCCCCCCAGTCGCCAGCGCGGGGAGACTGCCAGGAAGGGCCTGGCCCTGCCCTGCTGACGCCAGCCGGGCTCTAGGGCAAGGCCAGGGGGGCTGCATGGGGGTGAGAGCAGAAGTAGGCACCCCACCCTCTGTAATAGCCCCCTGCCCTGGAGGGGCTGCCATCACCCCCTTTCGCAGCTGGGCAAACAGGGGCGGAGGGACTTGTCCGTGGTCACCCACCTAGTCTGTGGCTGCGCTGAGAAGAGAACCCAGGAGTCTTGGCTGCCCCCTCCCCCAAAATCCAGCAGACCCCACTCCCCTCCCCGAGCCAGGCTAGAACCCAGGAGTCCTGGTGCCGAGCCCACCCTTCACTCTCCGAGAACCAGGCACAGCTCTCTGGCTCCCCGGTGAGAACAGCTCACCCTAGGGGCTCCAGCTCCCTCTCCACCCATCCCTTCAGTGTTGCAGGCCCCGCTGCCCCCCCAGGGTCGCCCAGCCCATCAGAGCTCTGGCCTCCCTGGT